AAAAGTATCATCAGAGTTTGTGGAGTAAATCAGTCGTTGTCAAGAAGTCAATGAGAGAGTCAGGATTAAAGGAGGGTCCATCAGCAAGAAGGGAAGGTAAAGAGAGTGTAGTAGAACGAAGATGACGGAGGTAAATTCTGCGTGCTCGTTAATAGAGAGGGCAGTCTAACAGAATGTGGCTAATCGATACTGGAACTTGACACTGCTCACAGAGAGGAACAGGGTGCCTCTCCATGAGATACCCATGAGTAAGACGAGTGTGGCCAATGCGAAGGCGGGAGAGAGTGGTCTCCCAACCTCGGCACTGATGACAAGAAGACGGCCAGTAACCTATGCTCGGTTTAATAGAATGAAGTTTGTTACCGAGCAGAGTTGACCAACGTTGTTGCCAACGGGTGCGAAGGTGGGTAGCTATTGCAGCAAAATAGTCCAGAAATGGAACACCTCGATAGGAAATTGGTAGGTCATGTACTGCTGACCACGCAGCAGTGTCTGCCTGTTCATTGCCCTGTACGTCGACATGACCAGGGACCCAACAAAAAACAATATCTTTATGTTTGGTAGAGATACGGCATAGCCAAAGTTGGATACGGAGAACTAGGGGATGAGATGTATCAAATTTTCGTATAGCCTGTAGAGCACTAAGGGAGTCTGAGACTACTACAAATGATGACACAGGCATAGATGCGATACGAATAAGTGCTGCAAGAATGGCATACAGTTCAGCAGTAAAAATGCTAGCTGAAGATAGTAAATGCCCCCGTACGATGCTGTCCGGAAACACTGCTGCGAATCCGACGCCGTCTGAAGACTTAGAGCCATCTGTGTACACAGCGGTGGCATGAGAATGGGAGTGGAAGTGATCAAGAAAAAGAGCGGGAAGCCACCGTAGGCAGTTGAGCTTTCAAGCAAGGGAGTGAGAAAGAACAGACCCGAACAGCTGGAACTTCCCAGGGGGGTAGGGAAAAGTGAGATGCTACATGAACATATAAAGGTGGTAACTGAAGGGAAGACAAGAGTGAATGTAGGCAAAGAGAAAAGGGACGGAGCAAACAGGGGCGGTGAACGAATAAAGAATGTCTACTAATATCGGTGACCATTCTATAAATGGAAGGATTGTGTAGATCGTGAGAGCGTACATAGTAGCGAAGGCAATGGGCATCACGGCGATCAGACAAGGATGGAACATTCGCTTCTGTATAGAGGCTCTCAACAGGGGAAGAGCGAAAAGCACCAAGGTACAAACGTAATCCTTGGTGATGGATAGAGTTAAGGCTAGAGAGAGTAGAACGACCCTTACGAAAGCCATATTGACTAGCGGAGAGACTGTTGTGTGTCTCTAAATACCACATTAAACGTCGATTTACGAGACGTTCCATCACATTGCAAACTGCACTAGTAAGAGCGATGGGGCGATAGTGGGAGGCATCATGTCCTGTAGTACCCGGTTTGCGGAAAGGGAGAACAATGGCAGATTTCCACAGCTCTGGAAGAACTCCTTGTGCCCAAATAAGATTGAAGAGGTGTAAGAGGACTACAAGGGCTGACCGATGTAAATGTTTGTAACATACGAAAAATGAATGTCATCAGGCCCAGCTGCCGATGATCGGCAAGCTGAGAGCGTTGCCTCCAGTTCTTGAAGTGTAAAAGGCACATTATACTGTTCTTCTCTGAGAGAAGAAAAGTCCAAGGGTACTACCCCCTCTGGCAACTTTGAGAAAGAAACGAGGGGCATAGATGGAGCCCTCGGGAAATACGGACCAGAAAGTGTGCCAAGTTCAATGGCAACGCCCAGAGGGGTTTTCTAAAATCAACACCAGCGACCCTAAACAGGAGCCAGTCAAGAGAGTATTACCACCAATTCCTCAAATTTTTTCCAGACTGCACTCATAGAAAGAAGCAGAGGATGGTGGAAACATAATCTCGCCAACAAGTGCGTTACTTCTCACCGATGACACGGCGAGCGAAACGCACGCTCTGCTTTAAAAACAAGAATCTCTCACGGTCTATTTACCGGTACTTGCCCCAGCAGCACGTTTCAAATTACTGCACGAGCACAAGCAGGGGACCACCAAGCACGTACTTCGAAATACCTCCTGAGGTTTGGGTATAGAATGAGAAGCTGCCTATAACTACGTCGGAAGATGTGTAGAGCTCATCAATGGAAGATGAAGAAGGAAACCCCCCTCACTAAAAGCAATGAGGTGTGAGCAAAGATCCCAATTTGCCCGATCAAATTGCCAGGGGGGCTGGAAAGTGGTAATAGAAGGAAAAAGTAAGAATGATCGGAAATGATCGCTGTTTATGTAAGTCTGTAGAACAGACCGGGGAAGTCTAGTGCATGGAGGAAGAGCAGACGATTAGATCGAGCAAGAGAGAGTATGAGTACAGGATCAAAATGGGTGGAGGGACCCGTTTTAAAACATGGAGGGGTGAGAGCGAGAAAGCCTCCAACGAAAGCCACGTGAGTCAAATGAGACCCCCCCCCAGAGGAAATGGTGGCATAAATCACCAAATAACAGGGGTGTGTAAGGATAAACAAGAAAGGGAAAGTCTGGGGGAAAAAAATCTCGAAAGGAAGAGAATAAAGAACCAAATTTTAAACCACTTATTCAAGTGGATACGGGGTGCAGTGTAAAACAGCGAGGTATGGACAAATATTTGACAGTCGGGAAAATCATTTCGTAAAGAAGGGCCTTTCATAAGGGTCCCCATCAAAAAGGGTCCGAAGAATACAATAAAATTTTAAACCTGAATAGGTTGGAAAAAAAGCCAGTGTAATTTTTGGTTCTTGAAACAAGCCCAACAGGGAAAAAACCGGAAAACAACATCCAGCTCATCCCATTACCCCTGAGGGCCCGATTTCCCTGTAAATAGCCCTATTGGCAAGAAGAAAATACCCAAAACGTAGGGAAAGGCACCCAAAAGGACAAAAGGGGTTAGAAAACAATGTGTGGTACATTGGGAAAACTTTTAAATAGGAAGGGGGAGCGTTGCGAAGAAGGGGTTGTGAAGATGGAGGAGAGGGAAGGAAGGAAAGGGAAGAACAGTGTCCATTGAAGTTTAGTCTCGCAATATATTTTGAAATGGCTTTAAGTTTTCTGAATTCAAAGATGTAGGAGACCCTATTGGGGATAGAAAGAGGTGGTAAAGATTGGGGCGTAAGGACTGTACAAAGTAGAGGGGGAGGGGAAAAGGTTAAAGGGGCTGGAGAAATGTGGGGGGGGGACAGAAAAGGCAGAAAACCCGGGGGGTGGCAGAAGAGGGAAAACTTGGGGGGGGAAGGGGGGGGGGGGGGGGGGGGGGAAAGGGATAGTACGAGGAGGAGGGGGAATCTCCCCACTGAACAGAGCCCGAGAGAGGGGAAGAACAGGGGACAAGACTGGAAAGGTAAAGTGTGGGGGTGAAGAAGGGGAAGGGAAAGGGGGAAAGATGATTTTACAAAGGGATTTTTTGGACTTCGGTAAGGGGCGATTGTATTAGGGTCGTATGAAGTCTTTCGATACTGGGTTTGGAGGGGGACGCAAAGATGGAAACAGACTGATTTATCGGACGCAAGCCCCGGACAGCAAAAGGATTTTGATCCGAAGGCTTTGGGGGGGGTAAAAACAGAGAGCTGCAGAAAATGGGACCCCCCCCCAATGGGGGGTTTTGGAAACAGGAATAAAAAACGGGGTAGCTCCCTTGGGGGCGGAGATGAGTAACGCCAAGCAAGGGAGACCTTCTGCCCCCTTTGAGGCAACGGGTTTTACCTCATTTAAGTAACCGGCAAGGCGGGGGCGAAGGGTGACTTATTTCAATTAAGCAAAAGGGGGTTTACTGAAATTATTTGAATGGGCGTCGGCACCACAGACGGGCATTTCGGGCCCAAAATTGCAATATTTTTCCTGGGTGACCAAAAAACCACAATTTCTACTTGTTTTCGGGTAGACACCTTTTTGAACTTTTAACCGAGTCCCGCGACATATACAGAGGGCGGGAGTTCTCGGCTGTCAAAAATTAAAAGAGCCACATTGCAAGGAAAAGTCTCCGCCCCGGGGAGAAGGACATAATGTCTACTTTTTAGGGTTGGGAGATCCTGGAGTTCCAGCTGTTCAAAAATGTCATTGCCACAGACTGGGAAAACCCGTTGGGCATGGTAGGGGCAGAAAGAATACCACTACAAAATTGAGAGAAGATTTTTTCAATAGGATAGGGGTAAAAATCATATTTGAAAGGAGAAAAATCAAGCTTGGGGAGCATTCGGACATGACATGTGCATACCCCTTAACATGAAATGAAAATATCTTACCAACAGACGCAGGACGCTTTGCCAATACATGGTCGAAACTAGGCAGAAAAAAGTCGGTCTTAAAATAAGAATTTAGGCCATTTTGTGGTCTGAAACTGAGCTGGAGAGGAGTGCTTGACTGTCGGCTTTTCCAATAGAAGGGGGAAGGGGAACAAGGGGCATCATCAGGAGATGGCGTTGGGGTTTTGGATGGACCGGGTTGGCCGTTTTAAATGGAAGGGGGGGATTCAAAAATTGCCGTACCGTAAGGAGAAGCCGGAAGCAAGTCAAAAGGGGACGATTCCGACAAATCGAAGGATCGTCGAACCCCCTACCGAAGCGGTGAGGGAAAAAGCACCACAAGGGTACGGGCATCAGGAGTTTCCGAAGAGTGGTCAAAAAACAAGGGAGGTCAGAAGGGGTGGGTACAAGAAAGGGGGCCCGGGGTAGTGGGTTCATGACTAGGGCGCCCTGGTTAGGTTTCTCCTTTTTTTTTTTTTTTTAAGAAAAAAAAAAAAAAAAAAAGAAAATAAAATAAAAAAAAAAAAAAAAAAAAAGGGGGGCGGGGGGAAAAATTTTTCCCCGGAGAATGAAAAGGGGCCCAAATCTCCCCCGCGCCCAAGAGACCTCAGCACCCCTAGTACGCAGATGCAGCATGGAACCCGTGCCAACCCCACCCTTCATGCCATAAACCAGCAATCCGGGCTAGCAACCTCCATCTGCCGAGCTACCTCGGTGGACAAAAGAGAGGGCGGCCGGATATCCGCCACAAAGCATACCTCCTTCGGCCACCACCCCCGGAATCCGAAAGGTGGCTTCCAGAGATACACCCGTCGCCCGAAAGACACCCAAAGCTACTCCGGGATACCAGAGAGGGATCGGGCCATCCCCAGGCAATCCAGATTCCACGGCAAACTATGCCACCGCCAAGAACCTCAACGGAATGGGATGGACCCCGGTGTCCTTTCCCCTACCTAGGAACTAGCGCGCCTGTGGGAGAAATCCCAAAGGCCAAAAAGAGGAAGGGCAAAAGGGAGGGGTGAGGAGGAGGAGGAGGAATGGAAAAGGGGGAGGATGGGATAGGGGAGGGGAGAATGGGGGGTAATTAGGTTCAGTCTGAGGAAGAAGACCGACAGGGCTAATTCCTCAGACCAAGAGCCTCTTCACCACGCCAAGGAGCCCCCCTTGAAGAGGTTTGTTAACTGAGAGGTTTACAGAATAGCGTTGCACAATTGGTCTCCTAAACATTATAAAATACTTCACACTAAATAATGAGATTTACCACCTCACAGAACTATCAGAATTGGAAGTAGTTTCCTTTAGGACAATATAATCTCAAGGAAAGTCATGAAGTTTAAAATCATCTGCATCTGTAAGAAAGTCAAGATTCCAGATGCTGGTTTATCTGCAGCATTCAGACCTTCAACATAGGTAAGATTCTACCTGCAGATCAATTTATAAAGTCTTAATTTTAAATTAGTAGTAATATCTCACCACAAGGAAGGGTTTGGGATATTGGCCGTTTGGAGGGATATATTGTGTATTTTTTATACGTATATACTTCTAAACTGTTGTATTCTGGGCGCCTCTGCAAAAACAGTGATTATGTGTGAGTGAGGCGAAAGTGTTGAATGATGATGAAAGTATTTTCTTTCTTTTTGGGTCACCCTGCCTTGGCGGGAGACGGCCGGCTTGTTGGAAAAAAAAAAAAAAAAGCACCATGGATAAAATATTATACACTATTACTGGCATATACAATACAATATATCCACTGTATATAACAATAATTGTTTTAACATTTACAAGTACTATATAACAAAATTAAAAACAGTCGAGAATCCGTTATCCGAAATGCTTGGGACCAGAAGTGTTTCCTATTTCAGATTTTGGAAACTGGGACAACTTGGGGATGGGACCCAAGTCTAAACACATTATTGTACTGTACAAGTACAGTACCAAGAAACACGATCACTGCTTATAAAAAGAAGATAAATGTAGGCCTAGACTATGCCATTAGATTTTCACCAGCAACAATCTTGCCAAACACACAAATGAATTTCTCTGCTGCTTTGTGATCAGCAGATGCTTTATCACCACTAATCTTTAAATATTTAATGCTGTGTCTTTTCTTAAATTTTTGTAACTAGCCAGCAGAATATTCACAGTTACCTTTAATATTTAGTTATCATAATAGATTTTTGTTTGTTTCGTGATCAGCATTTTGTTAAGAGGCATGTGCTCACTCCAGTGTTGACAAATCCACTCCAATACATGATCACAATCTTCATTTTTCCTTCTGTGCAATGTTTTTTCTGTTTTTTCATTAACTTCTGTTCAACACTTTCAGCACAGAACTTCAACAGTTTGTCCTTCTGTTTGGTTAGGTGGTCGATAGTGGTTGTTCCAACACCAAACTTCCCAGTCAGACACTTCACACTTATGCCACTGTCAAGTTTTTCCAACAACTTGACTTTCTGTGATATATAAAAACATAAATGCTTCCTCTTTTTCTTTTAACCATTACCCATATGCCTTTTTGACATTTTCAACAATATCTTCACACCACAGAGCACAAAACAAGTGGTAGTCAGAGAGTAATTTCCGCTGACAACAAAGTGGCACTAGTACAAATGTGAAGCATGTCTGGACTCAACAGATGGAGGATTGCACCTCCATCACATCTTGTTCTCAATGATCCATTTGCGACGCATCATGTCAACACTCAAAACACTCAGATTTTGGAGGCTTTTGGATTTTGGATAAAGGATTCTTTACTGTAATTGCAATTTCTTGTAAATATAATTAATCACAGTCATATTTAAAGATTATCACCTTTATCCAGATACTACATTTTTAAAGTTATCTATAAAATATTTTTATTTAAAATATGTATAATTAGAAGATATTGAACTGATTTTTAAAGTTCTTATATTCGTGAAAACTTTTATCTATTTTAATTCGTAGTATTTTATTTTAACCGTCAGTAATACAGTAATCCCATTTAGTGACTATAATTTTGACAAGTAACTAAAAGATACATATGAGAATATATTTTGTTAGTACTACTTGTTCCCCTCTAAAGAGAACACCCCATGTTAAACATCTATAAAGATTAGCATTCATATTACAGTTTTGTTGCTCACACTAGCTCTTCTCTCACACCTGTACACCTTCACTTTGTGCCTTTAGTTACTTGTTATTATATTCATTAGGCAGCACTAAACCCATAAGGGCTATACAACACCTGGAGAATAAGAGGCAATTAAATTTAATTCAAGGAAAGGCAGGGTAGCTCAAATTCTTTGGATCAAAGAGCCCTTAGCCAGCATTAAGGTGCCTTCCTTGAAGGGACTTATCATAATCATTATTGCACAGTACTTTTAGAAAATGTGATGCAAACTGAACACTTCATTTTAATGCTACCTTATTATAATTCTGAAATCTTGACCTCTTAAGAGTTCAAGCTCTTAGTATTAAGAGTTGACAATCAGGGGGAAGCCCCCTGATATTTAACAAAATAGAAAATCATGGTTCTATTTACATATACAATACAGGTTTTTGTGTTTACTGTAGGTTTGTCTTAAGCGAATTCACTATTATGCGGTCCCATTTCTATCAGTAATCCTGTATACCAGTTATACATTCGCTGCATGTGAACAGTGCAAGTTCACAAAGATTTTTCAAGACACTTATTATGTAGAATTAGGTGCTGATTATCCAACTACACTTAGTACAGCTGCCCTGGCCCTGTAAAACATTTAATGCATAAAGCCAGGGACACCTGCATGCCTAAATTATCATGTTTCTATACAAGTCAAAGTGCCATAACTAAAACATTACAACAAGACCACTATTTGTGAAAGGTGAATTATGTTTTTGTGTTTTCTGGATTGGTATCCTTTACACCTCTTCAAGGGAAAATGCCTTGATGCTGGTGAAGGGTGCTTGATACAAGAAATTGATTATTCGTGCCTTTCTTTGGGTCAAATTTGATTGCCTCCCATTTCCCAGGTGCTGTTTGACCCTCAGGTATTTTGTGCTTCCCCCATGAATATGAAAATAAATAAAATATGATCAGTGTTAATAGAGGTTGTTTTATGATCAGTACTATTGGCTTAGGCTGGTACACAGTGTACACCCAGATTTATAATAAAAGCAATAATATTTTTTTAACACTATGGCAGTATCCCTCAAAGAAGAAAATACTTTAACTGTCACTCATTCAATCACTGTCCTGCCAAAAGGGTGTTGACATCATAGTTAAGATTACCCTCCAAACTGCAGCATCCTCACTCCTCCTTCAGAGTGCAGGTACTGTACCTCCCACCACCAGGACTAACTGGTTTCCATGAATCTCTTCATAAATGTCACCTTGCTCACACTCCAACAGCATATCAACTCATAAAAACCACTTGCCTCCACTCATTCCTGACCAACATGCTCACAAAAGCCTGTTGGATGCCCAAGCCCCTAGCACTCAAAACTTCCTTTACTCCCTCTTTGGATGACCCCTACCTCTCCTTCCCTCTTTCCCCAAATTTATATGTCCTCCTAGTCATCCTATTTATCTCCATTCTCTCTAAATATCTAAACCATGTCATTAACCCCTACTGCCTACTCCCTGCTGCAACATTCAAAACCCATGCTTGGCATCCATACAAGTGTTGGTACCATTATACTCTGGCACCCTTCCCTTTTTGTCTTCATGGATAAAGTTCTTTGTCTGCACAGATGCCTCAGTGCACCCTACCTTTTTCTCCTCACCTCATGGTTCACCTCATCTCTTACAGAACGAACTGGAGGCAAGCTCCTCTCAGCATGTCAAGCCACACCTAGCCAAGAACAAGGTTATGTTAAAATTGTCACCCACCTTGAAGTCCCTGATTGATTAAATTGTAATTTATGGTTGCATAATATCAAACACTAAAATAACAAATGTCTTCTATACAGCACTTGTTATATTTGACATACCGGATGTATCGAATGTATTATTTTGTCTCAAACACATAAATGCAGTAATTAATAACCATATCATTTGCAAAAATCTGTGAAACCCATTTTATATACTGCACTGTATTCAACCCTTTCAGGGTCGGAACCTCTGATCTGAAACTTGATCTCAGGGTCGGAGAATTTAAAAAGAAATGAGATGATACAGAATCATTTTCCAAACATATTGAAACCAAAAGTATGAAATTTGATGGAAAACTTACGGAATTACGCTATCATAAAGTTAGCGGTTTTGGCAATATTTATGCATCAGCAATTTCAGCCAATTTCAGCCTTATTTGTGGCCAATTCCATTCTTCAAGCTGCCAAACTCTAGTATTAATTTTATTCTGTCGATCGAGTACAAGGAACTGCCCATTTACCTATTTTCAACTACCCAACAAAATTCAAGAACTGCTAATTTCAAAATAGGGTCCAGAATAAACACTGTAGACATTCCTGGCACTAAAACAACATTTCCTCTGTTCATTAGTCACATCCTCAGGCCTATCCTATATTATGCCTGTTTTCCCATGTTGAACTTTTATTCACACAAAAAATAAAGGATTTACTGTTATGCAGACTACTGCATTATTGTAATACTTGTATAAACCATATCAGCACATTTCTGAACACGTATCAGACCGACCAACTGGACAGGTATTGGATGAGTGACAATTTGTGTACTCTAGAATATCGGCAAAAATTGAACATTTCCACTACTTTGAGCTCAATTTTAAGCTACTTTCAGTCCTGAAACCAATCAAGATTCTCTCTATTTCTGTAATATGTTTTCCATTCTATCAAATGAGACCCAGAAACCGAGAATACAAAGATAAAAACCATATGAAAATACACTGCAAAGTTCCTCTGAGTCTTCAACTTTTACCTCTGACCCCTTGATCCTGGCCTTTCTAATTCAAAAAATCTTTCGCTGTTTTAAGCCAAAAACGCTGTCACAGTTTTTTCTCCATAATGCACCATGTGCTGCAAGATTTTTTTTATATGGTGCACACTTACCACACAGACCCATTCACTCACAGTTTATTTAAGAGAGCTGAGCTCATTGAATACTACTACCTTACCTTTGATATACCTTTGAAGAGTTTCGAGAGTTTAACTATTCTCAGAGCCCAGCCATGGGCCAGGCTTGTCCGGTGCTTACCTGATCAACAAGGCTGTTGCTGCTGGAGGCCCACTGCCCCACATATCCATCACAGCCTGGTTGATCTGGCACCTGGTGAAGATACTCCTCCAGTTTCCTCTTGAAGGCTTCTACGGGACCGATCCACGCTTCAAAGTTGAAGAACAACAACACTGACCTCGAAATTGTTAACAATTCTAAATTATAACATCTTTAGTTACTGGGTACAATCTACATACTGGTACTTTATATAGAGTATATTTTTTTGATATATACATGTTCTCCTCTCCCTAACTGTAATTTTAACAGACAAAAAATTGAGTTTAGCATATTGTATATTAAAAAATTACCCCATCAACTATTTCCCACCAAAGTAACATAAGCCAAAACAAGAAAACACATTAGCCATCACTTATTCAATAGCTGCCTTGCTAAAGGTACGTACACACACACCACCATTCAAATGACTCTGAGTTGCAACATTACCACTAATCCTTCAAAGTATGTGGAATGTACAAAGATTATTCTGAAAATGAATAATAATATATGTACATGGCATAGTGAAATTAAAAACAGATTTTTTTTACACATAAAAGCATCACAGGCCAGCATCTTATGATAGCCAATCTAAAATACATACACTTAATGTAAGTGATATACACTATATATGTGAATTTTCTAATCATACATTTAATACATTATTTTACAGTGTCAATATATGTGTATAGTAGGAGCTTGATATTCCTAAAATTTGTGAACAACACCAGTGATCACTGTGATATAAGTATTAATTCTGGGTTAGACTAAACTGTTTATATTCACAAAAATATGGTAAATAAATATGTACAATACAGAACTATATTAACATTTGTACATGATATAATAAAATAGTTTTACTTCAATGTTTACAGTTTTGACTGGCTGACTAGTTGCCAGGCCCTAAGAAAGCCCCACAAATAGTGGAGATTAATTACAAAAGATTCATAAAACAATAACTTGAATATTAAGTTATGTGAATGTTCATGGTGTGAATACTGAGGATCTACTGTGCTGTATACTACTATATTTACATAAGCAGCTATAAAATATCTTATGAGGATGCAATAACTGGGAGTGCTGAAGTATTCTCCTCTATACGATCTAAGAGTTTGGTGGCAACGTGTGCAAAGTCCTCCCATAGTTGATACACGATGTCCTTTGTTTCTGGGTCACACTCCCCAAACACCTCAGGGTTATTGAAGTAGGAGTCATCATCTGTCATGTAAAAATTTTATCACTTTTTACCATATTATTTTATTATCATTATTACAGCAATATATTGTTTTAACATATCTCCCACTGAGGCAGGATGGCCCAAAAAGAAGAAAACACATTCACCATCATTCTTTCCAATTCTGTCTTGCCAGAAGGGTGCTGATAGCACCTCATCCTTCATAGATCCATCTACTGACATGTTCACTCTGAAATATCTAAACACTTTTACTTCCTTCATACTTTCTCTCTCCAATCTGATATCTAATCTTTCATTGCCTAGACCTTTTTTTTTATTACTCATCACTTTGCTGTTTGCTATGTTCACCTTTAATTTCCCTCTTTTACTTACCTTCCCAAATTCTTCCACCCAACCTTTGTAACTTTCCTTCAGAATCTCCCATAAGAACTGTGTCATCAGCAAAGAGCAACTGTGACAATTCCCACTTTGTATCAGTTTCATTATCTTTTAATCCCACATCTTCCCCTAAGCCCCTAGCATTTACTTCGCTCCTACGAATATGTTAAAACAACCATGGTGATGTCTTGCATCCCTGTATAAAGCCTTTTACTAGGAAATAGCTTTCCCCTTTTTCCTACAGTGATAATAATAATTTGCTTTAAGCTGTATGATGACAAAATGTTTTTCTCTTTGGGCATAATTATTTTATTGAAAATAAGTGTCAAATTACATCAATGCTAATAAGAAAACAACACTTAATAGAATTGCATCGCATAGAAATTAACGCAACTTTCAATACAAAGAAGTCAATGCCCTCACCTAAAAATTCTTCCAATACAAAAATGAGTTTTTCTGTTTCTTTGTGTCCAAGCGTATCTTCAACATCAGCAGCCGAAGCACAGTAGTTCCAAAGCACCTGACATGCAAGACTGCACAACTGCCAGTCTCCATAGCCAAAGTACTGAAGCACATCAATCATTCTGCAAACAAGGACATCTTAATGTAAGAATTTCCTGGTAGTGTGACATATCTTGAACAGACGACTTCACAAAATTTATTTATATCCTAATAAATCCTCATTAAAGAAAGAGGGGCTTGTGATGTTTCTAAAATCTAGCAGGCAATGTTGGCCAACAGCCTTGGATAGGAATGGTGGATGTGATATTCTCTGCTACTGAGGACCAGACTAACTGCTGCCACAAGTGCAAGACCTTCAAATTGGTCATCAACTTTACCCCTGAGGTTGCCCTGTATTGGATGGTTGAGTGTCTTGGTTGAGGTACATTGGGGAAGGGTGTCTTCACTGGCATTGACTAACATTCATTTTATGTGGCTCTTTATTATGGGAAGTCCCTATAGGGATGCAGTAACCCTGTCAACATTGGCATGTACTCAGTCTTATTCTTTAGACCCCTTAGCTTTAATGTCTTATTACCATTAATACTATACTACAGTACTATTCAGTACAGTACTATTCAGTTTATGAATTTGAGTAGTTAGTAAAGAAATGTAAGAATGATACGAGTCACTATAAAAGCTCAAAATGTGAGGTGTGCAACAGAACAGTGGCCCAAGGGAAATTCTTTGTTGATCTGAACAACTGGAGAGGGTGACTGGTTGCAGACTTATATGAACAATACATAACAGTGAGGTACAGAGGGTTGTGCATTTCTGGTGAAGGACAGGTAACATCATAGGAAGGGTAAGGACTGCATTACTTACAGAATATATATATTCTTCTTTCAACAAACTGGCCGTATCCTACTGAGGCAGGGTGGCCTAAAAATATAAACGAAAGTTTCCCTTCTTAAATTTAGTAATGTATACAGGAGAAGGGGTTACTAGCCCCTTTGCTCCCGGCATTTTAGTCACCTCTTACGACACGCATAGTTTATGGAGGAAGAATTCTTTTCCACTTCCCCACGGAGAACAGAATGTATATACGATGGTTTAAAGAGCATATTAGTATTAAATTCAGGAGGAGTACTAAACCTGTAAGGGCCATGCAGCACCTAAGAAATGGGAAGTACTGTTCTCTGGTTTGATCTAAGGAAGGGGAAAGAAGCTCCAAGTTCTGAAGTTGCACTGTATGACCCCTTGTTGATTATAATAATAATAATAATGATTATAATAATAATGATTATAATAATAATAATGATTATAATAATAATGATTATAATAATAATAACTGATGATTGCTGATGTTATGAATGAAAAGAAGTTGGATGTCCTGGCCCTAAGCGAAACAAACCTGAAGGGGGTAGGGGAGTTTCGGTGGGAGGAAATAAATGGGATTAAATCTGGAGTATCTGAGAGAGTTAGAGCAAAGGAAGGGGTAACAGTAATATTGAAGGATCAGTTATGGAAGGAGAAAAGAGAATATGAATGTGTAAATTCAAGAATTATGTGGATTAAAGTAAAGGTTGGATGCGAAAAGTGGGTCATAATAAGCGTGTATGCACCTGGAGAAGAGAGGAATGTAGAGGAGAGAGAGAGATTTTGGGAGATGTTAAGTGAATGTATAGGAGCCTTTGAACCAAGTGAGAGAGTAATTGTGGTAGGGGACACTTTTAGGAGAAACTTTTAGAGAGGGTGTGGTAGGTAAGTTTGGGGTGCCAGGTGTAAATGATAATGGGAGCCCTTTGATTGAACTTTGTATAGAAAGGGGTTTAGTTATAGGTAACACATATTTTAAGAAAAAGAGGATAAATAAGTATACAAGATATGATGTAGGGCAAAATGACAGTAGTTTGTTGGATTATGTATTGGTAGATAAAAGACTGTTGAGTAGACTTCAGGATGTACATGTTTATAGAGGGGCCACAGATATATCAGATCACTTTCTAGTTGTAGCTACACTGAGAGTAAAGGTAGATGGGATACAAGGAGAATAGAAGCATCAGGGAAGAGAGAGGTGAAGGTTTATAAACTAAAAGAGGAGGCAGTTAGGGTAAGATATACACAGCTATTGGAGGATAGATGGGCTAATGAGAGCATAGGCAATGGGGTCGAAGAGGTATGGGGTAGGTTTAAAAATGTAGTGTTAGTGTTCAGCAGAAGTTTGTGGTTACAGGAAAGTGGGCGCGGGAGGGAAGAGGAGCGATTGGTGGAATGATGATGTAAAGAGAGTAGTAAGGGAGAAAAAGTTAGCATATGAGAAGTTTTTACAAAGTAGAAGTGATGCAAGGAGGGAAGAGTATATGGAGAAAAAGAGAGAGGTTAAGAGAGTGGTGAAGCAATGTAAAAAGAGAGCAAATGAGAGAGTGGGTGAGATGTTATCAACAAATTTTGTTGAAAATAAGAAAAAGTTTTGGAGTGAGATTAACAAGTTAAGGAAGCCTAGAGAACAAATGGATTTGTCAGTTAAAAATAGGAGAGGAGAGTTATTAAATGGAGAGTTAGAGGTATTGGGAAGATGGAGGGAATATTTTGAGGAATTGTTAAATGTTGATGAAGATAGTGTGAAGGATGTGTGATGTCACCGTGGTTGTTTAATATATTTATAGATGGGGTTGTAAGAGAAGTAAATGCGAGGGTCTTGACAAGAGGCGTGGAGTTAAAAGATAAAGAATCACACGTAAAGTGGGAGTTGTCACAGTTGCTCTTTGCTGATGACACTGTGCTCTTGGGAGATTCTGAAGAGAAGTTGCAGAGATTGGTGGATGAATTTGGTAGGGTGTGCAAAAGAAGAAAATTAAAAGTGAATACAGGAAAGAGTAATGTAATGAGGATAACAAAAAGATTAGGTGATGAAAGATTGGATATCAGATTGGAGGGAGAGAGTATGGAGGAGGTGAATGTATTCAGATATTTGGGAGTGGACGTGTCAGCGGATGGGTCTATGAAAGATGAGGTGAATCATAGAATTGATGAGGGGAAAAGGGTGAGTGGTGCACTTAGGAGTCTGTGGACACAAAGAACTTTGTCCTTGCAGGCAAAGAGGGGAATGTATGAGAGTATAGTTTTACCAACGCTCTTATATGAGTGTGAAGCATGGGTGATGAATGTTGCAGCAAGGAGAAGGCTGGAGGCAGTGGAGATGTCATGTCTGAGGGCAATGTGTGGTGTGAATATAATGCAGAGAATTCGTAGGTTGGAAGTTAGGAGGAGGTGCGGGATTACCAAAACTGTTGTCTAGAGGGCTGAGGAAGGGTTGTTGAGGTGGTTCAGACATGTAGAGAGAATGGAGCGAAACAGAGTGACTTCAAGAGTGTATCAGTCTGTAGTGGAAGGAAGGCGGGGTAGGGGTCGGCCTAGGAAAGGTTGGAGGGAGGGGGTAAAGGAGGTTTTGTGTGTGAGGGGCTTGGACTTCCAGCAGGCATGCGTGAGCGTGTTTGATAGGAGTGAATGGAGACAAATGGTTTTTAATACTTGACGTGCTGTTGGAGTGTGAGCAAAGTAACATTTATGAAGGGGTTCAGGGAAACCGGCAGGCCGGACTTGAGTCCTGGAGATGGGAAATACAGTGCCTGCACTCTGAAGGAGGGGTGTTAATGTTGCAGTTTAAAAACTGTAGTGTAAAGCACCCTTCTGGTGAGACAGTGATGGAGTGAATGATGGTGAAAGTTTTTCTTTTTTGGGCCACCTTGCCTTGGTGGGAATCGGCCAGTGTGATAATAAAAAAAATAATTATAATAATAATAATAATAATCCAAGGGTATTTAGAGAGGCTGGAGGGAAGAAGGGGTAGGAGTCATCCCAGACAGAATTGAAGGGTGTGAAGGTTTCAAGTGGCAGGGGCTCGAGCATCCATCAGGTGTGTGTCAGTGATAGATCAGAGCAACAGATAGTTGAAGGATTTGATGTACAATCAGAGTGTGAGTAGGGTAACATATAAAATGAGATTCAGTGAAGCAAACCTGTTAGTTAGTTCTGGAGGTGGGAAGTGAAGAAGGGGCAGGGATGTTACAGTTTGAAGGATCATTTAAATTGTGATGTCTGTCCATTTGTGGTAAGACTGAATGAATGACTCATTTTTGGGGTCACCCTGTCTTAGTGGGAGAAGGCCAATGTAGTAAAATATAAATGTAAACAATCAAACATAATTATTTGATGATTAGGAAATTGTATAGTCTTATCATACCTGAGAACTCCATTTTCATCTTTAAATATAGATCGCCTGGAAGCATCCGACATTAGATTAACAAGAACACCAGCACACACGTAGACCAGCTCCCTTGAGTCACAATCCAGCATTTCCACCAACACCTCCAACACTGAGTGAGATGGTACAAGTTTTAATACCATGGCTGCAATAGTTCATAGCTAACTTATAAATTGGAAATAAAAAAAAAAGACAGGCTGAAATGTCTCATTTGCAATTTGTGGGTTAGTTGCAAACTGGGTAAGTGAAATAGCCATGAAACACAAAATATACATTAAAACAGGCAAATTAACCTAAAAAACTTTTCTAATTCACTGAATGAAACTTGTGTAATTCTGCTAGTTTTTGTCTAATATATATTTTTTTTGTGTACAAATAGTTTGGAATATGTATTTATTTACTAAAGATACACAGTTTTATTACCAAGTTTCCAAGAGAGGTGAACAGTATTATCAAGAATGTTAGTCTCAGTTAGTGTTTATCTTTGTTGTAATATCATTCCACCTCAGCTATTAATGTATTTCATATACAGTGTGTTAGTGGACACTCCTGCTAGAAATAATGATAAAACTATAACTATGGTATATTAATAGTTAGCACTCCTTAACTGCAAGAACTAGCAACTGTGGATTGGGAACAAGGTGGTGTGTGTGTGGATTGCTAATCCACCACAGTGTCCCTCCTTAAGTTACTATCTTGTGGTCTGTCATGCAGTTAAGATAATGAGGTGTAGCCTCACTCAAGTTATTATCTGCTTCTCTAAGTTAGTAGTGAAGGCCATGACAGGCATGTTACAGTGCCAGTTTAGGCTTAGAGTCTATTTTAAATAAAATAAGAACCACTACTGAATGGCTTAATGAGAGAATGTAGCATTAAGTAGCTGACAGGGTGTCCCCCATACCCATACTATGGTAGAAGAAAATTTACTACAATAAGAAAAATGTACTGTATATGGCATGTATAAAGAAATAAAAGGAAAGATGAAGAAAAGGGAATGGAGAAGAAAATGATGAAATGAGAATAGGAGGAAAGGAAATGAAGAATGGAGGAGAGGAGGAAGAGGGATAAAGGAGAATGAAAAGAATAAGAGAGGTTAGAGATGAAGAGGAGTTGGAGGAGGAGAGGACTGGGATGAATGTAGAGGAAATGAAGAGTGTTTTAGATAAAATAAAGAGGATATGTGGAGGTGTATGAAAAGAGGATAGGGAGGAGGAGGATGGGATGAAGAAGATGAAGTGTGGAGGATAAGAAGAGGGTGGAAACCTAAAACACAAGGAAAATGGATGAAAAAGGAAAATGTGAGGAAGATGGGTAGAAGATAATCAGCAGTAATAGACAAGAAAAGCAGGAGCAATGATTGTTAGGAATAATGGAGAAAAAAGAAAAGTAAATGTGGAGAGGAGCAAAATTAAAAAGATTTAAAACTAAAGAAATGGGAGGTAAAGAATGAAGAGAAGAGAAAAACTGTAGTAGTGGAGAAAATACAGAGGAAAGAATAAATACAAATCAGAAGGGAGGGAAAATGAGATGTTGAAAATCAGAGGAGCAAGACGAGAAAATGATGACAAGTGGAGGAGACAGGGAAAAAGAGGATGAAAAAAAATTATTTTCAAAACTGTTACAAAGCAAGGTAACATACATTATTTATTAAATTTTTAAAAGCCCCTGGTTATGCAAAGCATCCCTTCTTTCTGGTTATGCAAAGCATAACCAGAAAGAAGGGATAAGAAAGAAATGGCAGAAGATAAAATCAGACAAGGAGGTGAGATGAAGACAGACTGGAAGGAAGGAATATATGTTAAAATATAGAAAAATAAAGACAGGATGAACAATATCTTTCCTCCAAGGAAAGATAAAATTATGTTAGTGTTAGGTTAGGTAAGATTTGTCAGGAAAACAGGTCAATGTTTATTCCCAAACTTAACCTGAAAGCCATGCTATTACTCTGCCTCAAGTGAGCCAGTTGAAAGAAATATTTAGGACAGGATTGTGTCTAGGGTTGTAGGCTTACCAGCACGCTTAGTGAGTATATCTCTGATATCCTTAAAGTGTGTGAGGTTACCAAACACACGGATGGTCTCCACTAGTCCCTCGACGTGGTCCATTGGTAGCATGTCACATAGACCTGCCATAGAAAGGATGTGGGGTCATTTAACAGGTCATGTCAGTGTATTTCAGTGTTTAGTTCACATACTATTACAGTCAGCAAGCTCTTGACCTTTGCTCTTACATTCTTATTTTAATAGAAATAAGGGGTTACGTTCTCCAGATTCTTTGTTGCTTTAATTACTTTGCTTTCAACTTGTACGACTTCCGTACAGCTAAATGGACTTGATGACATGCCTGCATCTCTACTCCGAATGCCACTACTCCTGCGAGTGTAGTTTGGGAGGTGTGGAAACTGGAGGGCAAGTATACTTCAGATCTGGCTCCCATCCTTGGCATTACTGGCGAGAATATATATAACAGCTGATATGACAGTGGCTATTGAGCACCATTTTGTTATGTCTCCAAAAGACTGCAATTCTCTGCCAGACTTCCTCCAGTTCAGGAATACATATTACAAAATTTCACAATTTATGCTGCATTTCAACATTCCTACTGATACTAATAAGAACTATATTAAGTATGTTTTATGCTTTTTAAACTTACATTGAATTTACAGTGGCTGGTGCAGATGAGACATGTATCTGGTGGCAGCCTATAATTTTTTTTTTGACACACTGGCTGTCTCCCACCAAGGCAAAGTGACCCAAAAAAGGAACGCTTTCACTATCACTCACAATATCACTGTCTTGCCAGAGGCACATAGATACGACAGTTCAGATATCCCTCCAAACAGCAAATAATTAACCCCTCCTTTAGAGTGCAGGCACTGTACTTCCCACCTCCAGGACTCAAGTCCAGCTAACTGGTTTCCCTGAATCCCTTCACAAAATGTTACCCTTCTCCTGTATAAATTACTAAACAATAATAATTAATAAGAAAACCTATATTATTATATGATGACTCCATCCACAAAGGAGATGCCACAATGCTGGTGAGGAATGCTTGATCCAAGGAACTGGATTTATGCTCTCCTTCCTTGAATGGAGCCTGATGCTTTCTATTCTTGAGGTCATACGAACCCTACAAATTTAACCCTTAGCCCTTTCAGGGTTTCGGCCGTACTAGTACAGCTTACGCACCAGGGTTTTTGACGTACTAGTACTGTATGTCTAAATTCTAGCACCCTCAAATCTAGTGAGAGAAAGCTGGTAGGCCTACATATGAAAGAATGGGTCTATGTGGTCAGTGTGCGTGGTATAAAAAAAATCCTGCAGCACACAGTGCGTAATGAGAAAAAAAAAAACTTTGACCGTGTTTTTGGATTAAAACAGCGACTTTGCACTGTATTTTCGTATGGTATTTATTGTTGTATTCTAGTTTTCTTGGTCTCATCTTATAGAATGGAAGACATATTACAGAAATTGAGATGATTTTGACTGGTTTTACAAAGAAAACTACCTTGAAATTGCACTCAAAGTAGCAGAAATGTTCGATTTTTACCAAAGTTCAAAAGTAAACAAATCATGCTATGCGTCCAATACATGTCAACTGGTGAGTCTAATATTCTTTCACAAGTGCGCTGATAATATTTATACCATTTCTACACCACTGCAGTAGTCTGCATAACAGTAGTTAGTTAGAGATTTGCCGGTATTTCCGGCCCAGGTCTTCTCCAGATGGTGACCCGGCGTGCATAACAGTAAATCTTCTATTTTTTTGTGAGAATAAAAATTCAAAGTGGAAAGCAAAAGAATGTAAGAGGGGCATGGGGACGTGACTAATGAACAGAGGAAATGTTATTTTAGTGCCAGGAATGTCTTTCTTGTTTATTCTGGACCCTATTCGTGAAATTTGTGTGAAATTGGCAAAATTGCTAAATTCTGACCACTGTATTGGATAGTTGAAATCGGTAAATGGGTGGTTTTTTGTACTCATTCGATAGAAAAAATGGAGTTCTAGCGAAATATTTATGATTTTTGTCTACAAGTACACTAGAATTGGCCGAAAATAGGGCTCAAAGTGGGCAAACTCGCCGATGCGTAAACATCGTCGAGACCGCTAACTTCGCGAGGGCTTAATTCCGTAAGTTTTCCATCAAATTTCATACTTTTGGTGTCATTATGATCGGGAAAAGATTCTCTATCTTTTCATAAGAAAAATAATTTTTTTTTTAAATTTGGCCGACCCTGAGAACAAGTCTCTGAGAGGGCCTGTCGACCCTGAAAGGGTTAAACTGTTCAAACGTAGATCTACGTTTACTTGCTTTGCGCTTCGACCATAGATCTACGTTTTTTTTACGTGCTTTCAAAAGGAGAAAATAAAGGTCGGAGCGCTGTGCACGTAAACGTAGATCTACGTTTGGATAGTTTAAGGGTTAATGTTTATCCAGTTAACAACAGTACGCTATACTACTGGTATATTCATGGAGAAAGGCTAACCCAATATGGATCACTATAAAAATAGGACTGATAGATATCAGTTAAAAACAGAGTAGGGGAGTTAGTAGATGGGGAGAGGGAGGTATTAGGTAGATGGCGAGAATATTTTGAGGAACTTTTAAATGTTGAGGAAGAAAGGGAGGCGGTAATTTCATGCACTGGCCAGGGAGGTATACCATCTTTTAGGAGTGAAGAAGAGCAGACTGTAAGTGTGGTGGAGGTACGTGAGGCATTACGTAGAATGAAAGGGGGTAAAGCAGCTAGAACTGATGGGATCATGACAGAAATGTTAAAAGCAGGGGGGGATATAGTGTTGGAGTGGTTGGTACTTTTGTTTAATAAATGTATGAAAGAGGGGAAGGTACCTAGGGATTGGCGGAGAGCATGTATAGTCCCTTTATATAAAGGGAAAGGGGACAAAAGAGATTGTAAAAATTATAGAGGAATAAATTTACTGAGTATACCAGGAAAAGTATACGGTAGGGTTATAATTGAAAGAATTAGAGGTAAGATAGAATGTAGGATTGCGGATGAGCAAGGAGGCTTCAGAGTGGGTAGGGGATGTGTAGATCAAGTGTTTACATTTAAGCATATATGTGAACAGTATTTAGATAAAGGTAGGGAAGTTTTTATTGCATTTATGGATTTAGAAAAGGCATATGATAGAGTGGATAGAGGAGCAATGTGGCAGATGTTGCAAGTGTATGGAATAGGTGGTAAGTTACTAAATACTGTAAAGAGCTTTTATGAGGATAGTGAGGCTCAGGTTAGGGTGTGTAGAAGAGAGGGAGATTACTTTCCGGTAAAAGTAGGTCTTAGACAGGGATGTGTAATGTCACCATGGTTGTTTAATATATTTATAGATGGGGTTGTAAAAGAAGTAAATGCTAGGGTGTTTGGGAGAGGGGTGGGATTAAATTATGGGGAATCAAATTCAAAATGGGAATTGCCACAGTTACTTTTTGCTGATGATACTGTGCTTATGGGAGATTCTAAAGAAAAATTGCAAAGGTTAGTGGATGAGTTTGAGAATGTGTGTAAAGGTAGAAAGTTGAAAGTGAACATAGAAAAGAGTAAGGTGATGAGGGTATCAAATGATTTAGATAAAAAAAATTGGATATCAAATTGGGGAGGAGGAGTATGGAAGAAGTGAATGTTTTCAGATACTAGGGAGTTGACGTGTCGGCGGATGGATTTATGAAGGATGAGGTTAATCATAGAATTGATGAGGGAAAAAAGGTGAGCGGTGCGTTGAGGTATATGTGGAGTCAAAAAACGTTATCTATGGAGGCAAAGAAGGGAATGTATGAAAGTATAGTAGTACCTACCCTCTTGTATGGATGTGAAGCTTGGGTGGTAAATGCAGTAGCGAGGAGACGGTTGGAGGCAGTGGAGATGTCCTGTCTAAGGGCAATGTATGGTGTAAATATTATGCAGTAAATTCAGAGTGTGGAAATTAGGAGAAGGTGTGGAGTTAATAAAAGTATTAGTCAGAGGGCAGAAGAGGGGTTGTTGAGGTGGTTTGGTCATTTAGAGAGAATGGATCAAAGTAGAATGACATGGAAAGCATATAAATCTATAGGGGAAGGAAAGAGGGGTAGGGGTCGTCCTCGAAAGGGTTGGAAAGAGGGGGTAAAGGAGGTTTTGTGGGCGAGGGGCTTGGACTTCCAGCAAGCGTGCATGAGCATGTTAGATAGGAGTGAATGGAAACGAATGATACTTGGGACCTGACGATCTGTTGGAGTGTGAGCAGGGTAATATTTTGAAGGGATTCAGGGAAACCGGTTATTTTCATATAGTCGGACTTGAGTCCTGGAAATGGGAAGTACAATGCCTGCACTTTAAAGGAGGGGTTTGGGATATTGGCAGTTTGGAGGGATATGTTGTGTATCTTTATACGTATATGCTTCTAAACTGTTGTATTCTGAGCACCTCTGCAAAAGCAGTGATAATGTGTGAGTGTGGTGAAAGCGTTGAATGATGATGAAAGTATTTTCTTTTTTGGGGATTTTCTTTCTTTTTTGGGTCACCCTGCCTCGGTGGGAGACGGCCGACTTGTTGAAAAAAAAAAAAAAAGATACAAGTACCTGCCTAGTATGAGCCAGTGAGCTTGAAGCACTCCTCTGTATTTATACACTCTCCTATCAGAGAGGCAGCACTGATATTGGTAAAGAGCTCTTTTATATAAATCAAATCTGATTACCTCCCAATTCCCAGGCACTGTAGGACCTTTACCAGTTTAGTGCTGCCTCACGAATATAACAATTTATGTTGTCTTACACTCTGCCAGCTGGGTATGTAGGGCGGAGACAGGCTGGTCACGGGTGTAAAAGGTGAGATTGTTAAGTGTAGCAAGGGCAGACAAGACCAGTTCCTCACTCTCGTCCACAGCCTTGTGTTGCAGCACAGAGATGAGCAGAGAGAGGCAGGTACGTGAGCGTGCCAGCACTGGTCCCACACGTGCGTGCACAGACACATTGGCCAGCACCCGGATCAGCTGTTGACACCCATATGGGATCAGGTCAAAGACTGGTGCATTTGATACACGAACAACACTATTTCTATCATTAAATGACATCACTCCTTGTGATGAATGACCCACAAAGGTTTTAGCTTCATGTACTGTACTAAGTGAATGAACCTGTAGTGTTATTAATATATAATCTCCAACTTTTAAATTGTATTATTTTATTAGCTTAGCATTAGTAGCATCAGTCAGTTTTTATTACCATATTGATCACCAACCAATATACTACATTATTCATGAAGCATTGTGAAAACAAATGACAATTCATGGAAAATGGACCTGTGATGAGTGAAACATAAAAGAAGGAAGACATCATAAGAATTGAGGTAGACATTACCAAAGTAAACAAATTCAAATTCAAAGTTTATTCTCTATAAGGATTACAATGCTGAGTTTACAGAATTTGGTTATTGTGTGGTTTACATGTAGTAAAATAGTGATTACAGAGTGTACCACTAGAACACCTAGCATGGCTAGGCATTTCGGGCAGACTTAGTTTAATTCTTAATTTTAAAATATTACAAATTATGAGGTAAGTTGGTATTATGGCTAAGTGACTAAATACTAGTTTGTGAGTTTAGCAATGTGAATGCTTTTGTTTTGGCACAGTACATAGTTTCAATACTGGAGTATCATAGGATTCATTATTTTAAGATTGAGATTAACATTTCTGTTTATGGTCAAATGGGTGAGTGAGTGTAAGTGTGAACCACCAGGTGGTATTCGTGTAGTTAGTTGATGGGGTGTATCAGGGAGATAAGATGTTTTCTAATGGTAGTTTTGAAGGTGATGAATGTGTCTGCAGTTCTAGAGTTCTCAGGTAGGGTGTTCCAGATTTTAGGGCCTTTGACATACATTGAATTTTTGTAAAGGTTTAGTCGGACACGGGGAATGTCAGAGATGTTTGTCTGGTACTGTACCTGTGGGTTCTGTCACAACCATCAAGAAAGCGTTTTAGGTCAAGGTTGATACTGGAGTTTAAGGTCCTGTAGATGTAGACTGCACAGTAGTGTGGATGTACTGAACAGGGAGTAAGTTTAGATCTATGAAGAGGGGGGGGGGGTGTTGCCAGGGATGGGATTTAGTGATTATTCTTACTGTGGCTTTTTGTTGGGTTATTATTGTCTTTAGGTGTGTTGCTGCAGTTGATCCCCAAGCACAAATAGCATAGGTGAGGTATGGATAAATAAGTGAGTGGTATAGTGTGAGAAGGGCATTTTGCGGCACGTAGTATCGTATCTTGGAGAGGATCCCAACCGTTTTGGATACTTTTTTGGTTATGTGTTGGATATGGGTGCTGAAATTCAGGTTGTTGTCAAGGTAAAGGCCTAGGAATTTGCCCTCATTATGTCTGGTAATTAGAGTGTTGTCGATCGTAATGTTAATTTGTGCATCTCCTGCTCTGCTACTCAGTGTTAAACGTAAGTTTATTGGCTGTCATCCAAGTCGATATTTTGATCAGCTCCTCGTTAACAATGGTGTTGAGGGTGGCAAGATTAGGGTGAGAGATGACAAAAGTCGTGTCGTCAGCAAAGAGAATTGGTTTCAGGTGTTGGGATACGTTTGGAAGATCATTGATGTATATGAGGAAGAGCAGGGGAGCAAGGACACTTCCTTGCGAAACTCCAGTATCAAGTGGCCGTGTTGTTGATGCTGTGTCTTTAATGGTGACATACTGATACCTATTAGTAAGGTAAGATTTGAAATAAGCAAGCACATGGCCTCTTATACCGTAATGGTCAAGTTTGTGGAGTAGGATGCCGTGGTCTACTGTGTCAAAAGCTTTTCTTAGGTCAATAAAAATTCCTAGTGGATATTCCTTATTTTCCAATGCTGTGTAAAGCAGATCTAGCATTTTTATGATTGCATCATTAGTGCTTTTATTTTTCCTGAATCCAAATTGGCAGGGGTTGAGTATGTTTTGTGCCGTTATAAATGAATATAGTTTCCTGTGCACGAGTTTCTCAAAGATTTTGGATAGTAATGGTAAGTTTGATATTGGCCTATAGTTGTTTAAGTCTGTAGGGTCACCACCTTTATGTATTGGTGTAACCCTTGCCATCTTGAGTAGTTTCGGGAAGGTGCTAGTTTCTAGTGACTTGTTAAAAAGTAATGAAATAGCATGCGAAAGGACATGGGCCACTCGCTTGTACATTAATGGTGGGACATGAGACAGATTCCCTGAGTTATTTTTAAGTGACTTTATAATCTCGGTGACTTCCGTGGGCTCAGTTGGTGCAAGATAGAAGGAATTTGGGAAATTCCCATCTAGGTAGTCCCCGGCATGGGCATTGGTATGTGGGATTTTATTGGCGAGATTAGATCCTATGGTTGAGAAGAAGTCGTTTATTTTGTTAGCTGTGTCAGTGGGATGTAGTGGTGTTTCATTAGGTTTAGTTAGGACAATATTCTTGTTTTTTTTTCAGTTTGTGGGTCCCTAGAATCTGAAAGAGTGTTTTCCAGGTCTTTTTTATATCTCCTCTAGTGTCTGTGAATCTACTGGAGTAGTATAGTTGTTTGGTTTTCTTTATTACTTTGGTGAGAACTGATGAATAGTGTTTAAGAATACCTTTGTGTATTAAGCCCTGTCTATATTTTTTTCATATTGGTGTTTCTTGTCAATGAATTTCAGAATGGTGCTGGTTAGCCATGGGCAACCAAGCCGTTTGTTTGTGATCTGTTTAGTTTTTATAGGACAATGTTTGTTGTATAGTCTAAGTAATTTGTTAAGAAAAATGTCTGTCCAGTCATCAATACCATTGGCCTTGGAGAATTCTGTAGGCCAGTCAACAGTCTCTAGGTCAGCTGTGAACTTCCTTATTGAGGCCTCATCATGGAGTCTAAATGAGACTTTGTTGTATTCAAGTGGTGGTTTACTAATGTTTGTCAGGAGGAAGGTAGGGTAGTGGTCTGTAGTGCTATCTGTGATTATCCTTGATTTAAGGGGGGCTAGTATATTGGTCCATATGTGGTCTATTATGGTTGCACTTGTCTCAGTGAGCCTGGTTGGTTTAGTTATTGTTGGTATGAGAAGTGTGTTGTTCATATTGTTGATGAAATCAGTTACAGGCTGATCATCTAGTATGCCAAGGTTGATGTTGAAGTCTCCAGCTAAGAGAAGGTGGTGCTTATTCATTTGTCTGTTTGTTATTAGTGACTTGAATTTCTCACTGAAATTTGGGATGTTTGTGTGAGGTATCCGGTAAATGGCACCGATTGTTATAGGTGTCTTAAGGTTTTTTACAGTAAAATTAGCAAAAATGTATTCCCCATATTCATCACTAAAGCAAGTGGTGCTAATACAAGATAATTGGTTAGAGTAATAGATTGCAATACCACCCCCAACTTTGTTTGGTCTGCAGTTGTGAATTGCTGTGTATCCTGGTAGAGGGTAGATATCTATTGTGTCCTGCTTAAGCCAGGTCTCAGTAAGAATAATGCAGGAGAAGGGTGTCTTTAGGGATTCAAGGAGTGCCAGGAGGTCATCATAGTGTTTGCTTAAGGACCTGATGTTGTAGTTAAGTACTGATAGACTTTTAGCATTGTTTAGGATAGTGCTGGCTTGTGATGCTGTGTAATAAAGGCAGTTACTTTCCAATAGGTTTTGATTGGGTGTCAGATTATGGAGGTTTAGATCAGGGTCAACGTGATCAATCATCTTCTAGGTTTAAATTATGGTTATTTATATCCTGAGTTGTGTGTTGAGTTCTAGTACTGATATCTGTAGTGGAGGGAAATATCACCATAGGAATCAAGGTAGACATCACTATAAGGGCCAAGGGAGATATTATCAATGAAGATGTAGGAGACACCATAGAATATAAGGGAGACATCACCACAGGAGACAGACCTTGACCATGACATCCTCCGGGGTTCCGCTGGCTGGAGAGAGGTTATCCATGATCTCCTCAGCCTGGTGGTGGCGGTCCCGTCGCAGGTACTCCATCAGCAGCTCCAGCAGCGTCTCCGTGAACCCATCTTCACTGAACAACTGAGTGACACAATTATAAAATTTTATTCAGGGATGAGTGTATGAGACTATTACTTGTGATGGCAGTTGTTCAGAGATAAGAAACCAAACCACGGGCGGGATTGAACCCGCGGTCAGAGAGACTCTCTGACCGCGGGTTCAATCCCGCCCGTGGTATGGTTTGTTTGCAACCGTGTCATTACGATTTCGTGAGTCATGTTCATGGATAAGTGTATGGGACAGTTACTTGTGATGGCAGGTGACAATAAGGGGAAATCTTGAGAGTACTGTGTACGTGTACTGTGTTTCTCAGGGTAACCCTTCAAATGGGTGACTTTATGCCATTGAAGGACTCTTCATCCAAGGAACTGGAGGTACCTTCCCCTTTCTTGGATCAGTCTGATTTCCCCTATGGTTTTAGCACTTCCATGAAAACATGAAATAATTCAAAGGCAAACTTAAGTGTAGTTTCTCTCTCAAGGTTAGACTTGTGTCTACAGCATTTTTGCTTGAATTTTTAATTAGTGTATATTACATGTACTGTATAATTATTTCATTGAATACTGATGTTTTTAATGTTATGTGAATCAATTTGTCTTCTTGAATTCTGTAAATGTTTCACACTTCAGTTTTTCATGTATTAAAATGTCTCCCTTTTTCTCACCTTCCATCTGGCATCATCAGAGTTGGCCATCATGTTGCCGAGGGCATAAGCCAGCCTCACCACTATAGCAGGGGAGGCAGAGTGGCGGCGGAGGGCAGCCACAGCAGCAGGTAGAGTGGCAGGGTGGGCAGCAGCTGCAGCACAACACTCCTCATGGGTCGAGATGATACTGCAGTGATGTTATTTTGCTTATACTATATATACATTATTATTTTTTTTAACACACTGGCCATCTCCCACCGAGGTAGGGTGACCTGAAAAAGAAACATCTTCACCATCATTCACACTATCAAGTATATACACTGTCTTGCCAGAGGCAAGATTGTGATTGTGAAGACAGCGGAGATGCATGGTTTGGCCCTACTGGGCTGAGGTGGCTGGTTTTTGAATGTCGGAAGAAGTGGATGGTTTTTGGTTGTTGTCAGAAGTGGATGGTAGAGTTTCCGGTACTAAAGTCGATGGTTGTATTGGAGTGTGCATAAATCTGTAATGGATCTCTGGGCTCTTTTACCCTGCAGTACATTGTACGTACAGCTGAGAGTAAGGCATCATCAGCTGGTCTAGACCCCGTTTTGAAGCACTGCTTCTAGATTTGTCAGGGTCCTCTTCAGTGAAAAAGTCTGCTAGTTTAGCAACAACATGGAACTGCTCATGTACCTGCTACAATGTTAACCGTTTTTCTTCAGATTCTTCTTCTTCTGTTATGTGGCTCCCTTGTATCTGTGCATTGAGCTCTGCCAACATTTCCTCTGGACTCCTGTCGTCATCATCATCTTCTAAGAGCTTATTCACATCTTCATTCATATCTTCAAAACCATCACCTGGTACTTTCCTTGCCAGCTGAACAATTTTCTGAACCTGACTCTCAAGCAAGAGAAAAGAACTAACTACGGAAGGCCATAACTTTCCCCAGCCTGCATTTAATGTTGATTGGGGCATTTCATTCCATGCACTTTTAGCATAGCTGATAACATCTGCAATGTTAAATTTATTCCAGAAACTTGGTACTGCCAGGTTGGAGTCAGAGCTCATTGATGCAACCAGGTTTTTCATAACTTTTTTTGTGTAGTTACACTTGGATGGCTTAATAACTCCCTGATCCAGTGGTTGTATTAGAGATGTTGTATTTGGAGGTAAAATTACAACTTCTACATGTGGGGTCACATCCAGCAAAGCTTGTGGATGAGTATGGGAAATATCAAGAATAAAGAGAGCTTGAGTGCAAGGTTCTTGCTGTGCAGGTAAAACTTGACTTCAGGAATAAAGTGATGCTTAAACCAATCAATAAATATTTCCCCTGTCATCCATGCTGACTGGTTTGACCTTCAAATTATTGGTAAGGTGTTTTTATCTACACCGTTCAGAGCACCAGGATTCTTAGAGCAACACTCCAAATTTTTTCCTTTCCCGCAAACTGAACCGTGTTAAGTTCATTTTACGAAGTGTTGTATAAAATTGTGCTGCAATTTTTAAGTGGTGCACAATAACAAAATTGCTAAATTAAAACATCTGTTAATAAATTTGGTTACTGTTTGTTATGTATACACTATTACACTCTCCTGGCTCTTGAGTCATGGAGGATTGGGACTTAGTAGCGACAAGTGAAGAGGCGGGGCCAGGAGCTGTGGCTCGACTCTGCAACTACATATAGGTGACTGTGTGCGCACACACACACATGCACGCACATGCGTGCACACACACAAGTTTGTTTTATTCTATTACTCTTTGTTTAGTGGCAGCTAGACTGATAAATTTGCTTCCAAAATGATGACATTCTTATCTTATTAGCTTGCACATAATTTGAGAAAAAAATTCTACGAGACAACCAACACTCAGGGCTAGTTCTTCAGCTCAGCTTTTAGCCAATACAAGCACAGAATTGACACACCCCTCCACCATCCATTTACAACTCAGTTTTTTAAAACTGGTACTTAATGAGTTTATGCTGAAGCACCTCACACATACAGAATTATTTTTATACAGTATTGTGTTATATTATTGTACTGGTCTGTGATGGGAAGTGTTATTACTGCACTGGGTCATGCAAAAAACTTTACTTTTAAGAATAATGCCCTACAAGAGTCCCTTCAACACACCTGAGTATCCTGACAACATTAGCAGTGACATCTTGGTCGTGTGAGAAATGGTGGAGGAGGGCGCACACCTGAGGAACAGCGCCCGTCACCAGCAGAAGAGGAAAGGTTCTCTCACAGCTACTGACATGGCGGAGGGTTCCTGTCAGTTGCACCAGAGCATAGTGGGTTTGCTCTGGCACATTACCAGTCTCTTGTTGCTGTGGGGAAAGCAGCAGTTGTACAAGACAGTAGCAAGTGTAGAAGAGACAGCAGGTGGTATATTACCATATTTTCCAGCATATAAAGCATGCTTTTTTTCCCCCCTACAAAAAGTCTTCAAAGATCACCCTGTGCCTTATATGCTCAAGGTCAGGTCAAGGTTAGGTTTTAGAAGTTGCTTACTAACATTTCGCTATAACTGCTTAGAAACGTCATCTTACATGCTCATTTTTTTAATAAAATTGTTAAATTGGTACCTACAAAGCCTCAAGCAATCGAAAAACCAGTAACACAATAGGTTCTATAAAATTAACAAATCAAAACCTTCCATTAAGCACAATACACCTGTTTTGAGATTTTTAAGCTAATCATAAGTGAGATTCTATAGTTGTTGCACAGAAAACCTTTTTTATTTTACTTGTTATAAAATTGGTAAATTTGCATATACACAAGTCAAAACTAAACAAACCCTTCCTCCCAGTTACATGCATCATTATTGAAAGTTTGAAGCTGTTCACAAAAGAAATAAAGAGCATACTCAGTTTGCTGCATGGAACAAAATAATACTGCATGGAACAAAATAATACTGCATGGAACAAAATAATACTGCATGGAACAAAATAATACTGCATGGAACAAAATAATACTGCTGACAATAAACTGCGGAACAAAATAATACTGCATGGAACAAAATAATACTGCATGGAACAAAATAATACTGCATGGAACAAAATAATACTGCATGGAACAAAATAATACTGCATGGAACAAAATAATACTGCATGGAACAAAATATATGCATGAAATATACTGCATGGAACAAAATAATACTGCATGGAACAAAATAATACTGCATGGAACAAAATAATACTGCATGGAACAAAATAATACTGGTAACTTGGCACCTGGTCATGGACCAGGCCGTGGGGGCACTGACCCCTGGAACACCCTCCAGGTATACACAGCCCAATAATAGTCCAAAATTTCCTCTTTGTAAGATATACCATTTAATATTAAAAGTTTGAAGCAGACCAGGAGAGGCATTCTAAAGTTGTTTTACAAAAACCCTTATCACATTTTGGTCTGTAGGACTGGCAAAGTGGCACCTTGATCAAAGGATTTTGAGCAACTCTCCCTTTCCTCAGATCAAACTTGATTGCCTTCTATTTCCTAGTAGTTGTAAGGCCCTTGTGGGTTTAGCGCTTCCCCTAGAATATAATAAGAACCTTCCATTCTCCAGGTTGCTATGACCCCTATGGGTATTAGCACACTTGCATCCCCATGAATATAATAGCAACCTTTAATTCTTAAGGGCACCATGACCCCATACAGGTTTAGCAATTCCTTATGAAAATACATAACAGGATACTTACATGGTTGACAATAAGCTTCATATGGAGGACAAGAAGCTCCAGGATGCCACGATTGAGCAGCCTGGAGACCAGCTGGGAGTTCATAGTGAGGAACTTGAGGGCACCATAGCCGTAGACACAAGCCTCAGGCTGGTCGAGTGGTGGCACGCAGGCCACAGCCTCGAGCAGCAGGTCCAGCAGGTTACCCTCCAGGAAGAGTGCATCATTGGTGTCATGGCGTGTCACCTTAAACACTAGCTTGCACACTGATGTCAGGTTGCTCCCTGATACCTTCAGCTGTAGGGTAATGAAACTTAAACACATAAGCTACATTTCAATGTTTTTGTGAATGAATTCATGACTCAAAAAAATCACTAATATTGTAAAAAAATTGTGAATCTGTAAATAGTTCATTACCACTGCAACTGTTTTAGCTCTCAGAATACTGGAGCCCTGTCACTGGAGCCAATATGTACCTCTTTATTAATATTTGGACTACAACTCACAGGATGGGTATGGAGTGACTATTGCCTACCGGATGGGTATGGGGGCATATAATAAAACTACCAAACTAAACAGATGTGCCAAGTATTGGGAATTAGGACATCTTGTAGCATATTACCTAAGGGTCCAAACAACTGGAGCTATCCAGTAACAAACCTGATTGCCTCCCATTTCACAGATGCTGTATGACCCCTATGGGTTTAGCATTTTCCATGGAAAATGCTACACCTCCCACAATGATCAATAATGAGGATGATTGTATACCCAAGATGACCCTATAACTTCTAAGATTCTACACCACCTAGGCAGATCCTGTGTCAGCCAAGTTTAATATATGAAGTGCTAATGATTGTCATACATGACCTATTTTAACCAGTGACCTAGCATGACCTAATGTGACTTAGCATGAACCATGATCTACAACAGAACATAGGTATGAACTCACCGCAAGCATGACTCTGGCAATGTTGGCGAGGAGCGCTCCGTGTTCTCGGTCGACAAGGCGGAACACTGCCCTTAACACCTGTGATCTGTAGCGGAAGTGTCGTCCCAGGAGACCACCAGCTTCCAGGCAGGTGTACAACTTCCCTACGAGTTCTCCTAGTACATCTTCTCCCACACCAGCTGCAGGAGAAAATGGTACGTTATGTGGGGTAAGGTGGGAGGGTATGTATGTATGTAATATGTATGTATGTATGTATGTATGTATATATATATATATATATATTATATATATATATATATATATTATATATATATATATATATATATATATATATATTATATATATATACATGTATATATATATATATATATATATATATATATATATATATATATATATATATATATATATATATATATATATATACATATACATGTATATATATATATATATATATATACACACACATATATATATATATATATATATATATATATATATATATATATATATATATATATATATATATATATATATATATATATATTCATATAGTCGGACTTGAGTCCTGGAAATGGGAAGTACAATGCCTGCACTTTAAAGGATGGGTTTGGGATATTGGCAGTTTGGAGGGATATGTTGTGTATCTTTATATGTATATGCTTCTAAACTGTTGTATTCTGAGCACCGCTGCAAAAACAGTGATTATGTGTGAGTGTGGTGAAAGTGTTGAATGATGATGAAAGCATTTTCTTTTTGGGGATTTTCTTTCTTTTTTGGGTCACCCTGCCTCGGTGGGAGACGGCCGACTTGTTGAAAAAAAAAATATATATATACACACACACACACACACACATATATATATATATATATATATATATATATATATATATATATATATATATATATATATATATATATATATATATATATATATATATATATATGCAAAACAACCACTCTGAAAAAATAGAGAAATTCCAAGCGCTTTCGTGACTACTCACATTATCAAGGAACTATGAAAGTGAAGCATCCAAGGAAGCTATATAAGGGGTCCGGCCAGCACCTCACTATCAGATCCCACAACGGTTAAACACGTGACGCGCGGCGAGCCAACTTGGATAGGTCCTTTGCACAACTCACCCCCAAGCTATTCTACCCAAGAAAATTTAAAAATTATTTGTCCAGTGTATTATTAAATTCTTCCCACATTCTATTAATTATAAATGGATCTAATTTATATAAACCAAAGGAAATATTCATATTATTGTCAAAACTACTTTTTATGAAACAAGATTCAATTATATTCCTGTCGACCATGGACTTGCTTGATACTACTTTCTCAACTTTTTGAAAATCAATTGGATGGTTAAAATCTCTTACATGAATAAATAGAGCATTGGAATCTTGTCCAGTTCTAATGCTATATTTATGTTGTTTTAATCTCAGTTCGAGATTTTTACCAGTTTGACCGTAATAAACTTTATCGCAAATTTTACGATAAAGTTTATTACGGTCAAACTGGTAAAAATCTCGAACTAAGATTAAAACAACATAAATATAGCATTAGAACTGGATAAGATTCCAATGCTCTATTTATTCATGTAAGAGATTTTAACCATCCAATTGATTTTCAAAAAGTTGAGAAAGTAGTATCAAGCAAGTCCATGGTCGACAGGAATATAATTGAATCTTGTTTCATAAAAAGTAGTTTTGACAATAATATGAATATTTCCTTTGGTTTATATAAATTAGATCCATTTATAATTAATAGAATGTGGGAAGAATTTAATAATACACTGGACAAATAATTTTTAAATTTTCTTGGGTAGAATAGCTTGGGGGTGAGTTGTGCAAAGGACCTATCCAAGTTGGCTCGCCGCGCGTCACGTGTTTAACCGTTGTGGGATCTGATAGTGAGGTGCTGGCCGGACCCCTTATATAGCTTCCTTGGATGCTTCACTTTCATAGTTCCTTGATAATGTGAGTAGTCACGAAAGCGCTTGGAATTTCTCTATTTTTTCAGAGTGGTTGTTTTGCATATTTTGAAATCACCTGTTCACTGTGATCTTATTGCATATATATATATATATATATATATATATATATATATAATATATATATATATATATATATATATATATATATATATATATATATATATAATATATATATATATATGCAAAACAACCACTCTGAAAGAATAGAGAAATTCCAAGCGCTTTCGTGACTACTCACATTATCAAGGAACTATCATAGTTCCTTGATAATGTGAGTAGTCACGAATGCGCTTGGAATTTCTCTATTCTTTCAGAGTGGTTGTTTTGCATATTTTGAAATCACCTGTTTACTGTGATCTTATTGCATATATATATATATATATATATATATATATATATATATATATATATTTTTTTTTTTTTTTTTTTTTTTTTCAACAAGTCGGCCGTCTCCCACCGAGGCAGGGTGACCCAAAAAAGAAAGAAAATCCCCAAAAAGAAAATACTTTCATCATCATTCAACACTTTCACCACACTCGCACATTATCACTGTTTTTGCAGAGGTGCTCAGAATACAACAGTCTAGAAGCATACACATATAAAGATACACAACATATCCCTCCAAACTGCCAATATCCCAAACCCCTCCTTTAAAGTGCAGGCATTGTACTTCCCATTTCCAGGACTCAAGTCCGACTATATGAAAATAACCGGTTTCCCTGAATCCCTTCACTAAATATTACCCTGCTCACACTCCAACAGATCGTCAGGTCCCAAGTACCATTCGTCTCCATTCACTCCTATCTAACACGCTCACGCACGCTTGCTGGAAGTCCAAGCCCCTTACCCACAAAACCTCCTTTACCCCCTCTCTCCAACCCTTTCGAGGACGACCCCTACCCCGCCTTCCTTCCCCTATAGATTTATATGCTTTCCATGTCATTCTACTTTGATCCATTCTCTCTAAATGACCAAACCACCTCAACAACCCCTCTTCTGCCCTCTGACTAATACTTTTATTAACTCCACACCTTCTCCTAATTTCCACACTCCGAATTTTCTGCATAATATTTACACCACACATTGCCCTTAAACAGGACATCTCCACTGCCTCCAACCGTCTCCTCGCTGCTGCATTTACCACCCAAGCTTCACACCCATATAAGAGTGTTGGTACTACTATACTTTCATACATTCCCTTCTTTGCCTCCATAGATAACGTTTTTTGACTCCACATATACCTCAACGCACCACTCACCTTTTTTTCCCTCATCAATTCTATGATTAACCTCATCCTTCATAAATCCATCCGCCGACACGTCAACTCCCAAGTATCTGAAAACATTCACTTCTTCCATACTCCTCCTCCCCAATTTGATATCCAATTTTTCTTTATCTAAATCATTTGACACCCTCATCACCTTACTCTTTTCTATGTTCACTTTCAACTTTCTACCTTTACACACATTCCCAAACTCATCCACTAACCTTTGCAATTTTTCTTTAGAATCTCCCATAAGCACAGTATCATCAGCAAAAAGTAACTGTGTCAATTCCCATTTTGAATTTGATTCCCCATAATTTAATCCCACCCCTCTCCCAAACACCCTAGCATTTACTTCCTTAACAACCCCATCTATAAATATATTAAACAACCATGGTGACATTACACATCCCTGTCTAAGACCTACTTTTACCGGGAAATAGTCTCCCTCTCTTCTACACACCCTAACCTGAGCCTCACTATCTTCATAAAAACTCTTTACAGCATTTAATAACTTACCACCTATTCCATATACTTGCAACATCTGCCACATTGCTCCTCTATCCACTCTATCATATGCCTTTTCTAAATCCATAAATGCAATAAAAACTTCCCTACCTTTATCTAAATACTGTTCACATATATGCTTCAATGTAAACACTTGATCTACACATCCCCTACCCACTCTGAAACCTCCTTGCTCATCCGCAATCCTACATTCTGTCTTACCTCTAATTCTTTCAATTATAACCCTACCGTACACTTTTCCTGGTATACTCAGTAAGCTTATTCCTCTATAATTTTTACAGTCTCTTTTGTCCCCTTTCCCTTTATATAAAGGGACTATACATGCTCTCCGCCAATCCCTAGGTACCTTCCCCTCTTTCATACATTTATTGAACAAAAGTACCAACCACTCCAACACTATATCCCCCCCTGCTTTTAACATTTCTGTCATGATCCCATCAGTACCAGCTGCTTACCCCCTTTCATTTTACGTAATGCCTCACGTACCTCCCCCACACTTACATTCTGCTCTTCTTCACTCCTAAAAGATGGTATACCTCCCTGACCAGTGCATGAAATTACTGCCTCTGTTTCTTCCTTAACATTTAAAAGTTCCTCAAAATATTCTCGCCATCTACCTAATACCTCCATCTCCCCATCTACTAACTCCCCTACTCTGTTTTTAACTGACAAATCCATATTTTCCCTTGGCTTTCTTAACTTGTTTAACTCACTCCAAAATTTTTTCTTATTTTCATTAAAATTTCTTGACAGTGCCTCTCCCACTCTATCATCTGCTCTCCTTTTGCACTCTCTCACCACTCTCTTTACCTTTCTTTTACTCTCCATATATTCTGCTCTTCTTATAACACTTCTGCTTTGTAAAAACCTCTCATAAGCTACCTTTTTCTCTTTTATCACACCCTTTACTTCATCATTCCACCAATCACTCCTCTTTCCTCCTGCACCCACCCTCCTATAACCACAAACTTCTGCCCCACATTCTAATACTGCATTTTTAAAACTATTCCAACCCTCTTCAACCCCCCATTACTCATCTTTGCACTATCCCACCTTTCTGCTAATAGTCGCTTATATCTCGCCCGAACTTCCTCCTCCCTTAGTTTATACACTTTCACCTCCCTCTTACTTGTTGTTGCCACCTTCCTCTTTTCCCATCTACCTCTTACTCTAACTGTAGCTACAACTAAATAATGATCCGATATATCAGTTGCCCCTCTATAAACATGTACATCCTGGAGCCTACCCATCAACCTTTTATCCACCAATACATAATCTAATAAACTACTTTCATTACGTGCTACATCATACCTTGTATATTTATTTATCCTCTTTTTCATAAAATATGTATTACTTATTACCAAATTTCTTTCTACACATAGCTCAATTAAAGGCTCCCCATTTACATTTACCCCTGGCACCCCAAATTTACCTACTACTCCCTCCATAACATTTTTACCCACTTTAGCATTGAAATCCCCAACCACCATTACTCTCACACTTGAGTCAAAACTCCCCACGCATTCACTCAACATTTCCCAAAATCTCTCTCTCTCCTCTACACTTCTCTCTTCTCCAGGTGCATACACGCTTATTATAACCCACTTTTCACATCCAATCTTTATTTTACTCCACATAATCCTTGAATTAATACATTTATAGTCCCTCTTTTCCTGCCATAGCTTATCCTTCAACATTATTGCTACTCCTTCTTTAGCTCTAACTCTATTTGAAACCCCTGACCTAATCCCATTTATTCCTCTCCATTGAAACTCTCCCACCCCTTCAGCTTTGTTTCACTTAAAGCCAGGACATCCAGCTTCTTCTCATTCATAACATCCACAATCATCTCTTTCTTATCATCTGCACAACATCCACGCACATTCAGACTTCCCACTTTGACAATTTTCTTCTTCTTATTCTTTTTAGTAATCTTTACAGGAAAAGGGGTTACTAGCCCATTGTTCCCGGCATTTTAGTCGACTTTTACAACACGCATGGCTTACGGAGGAAAGATTCTTATTCCATTCCCATGGATATAAAAGGAAAATTAATAAGACCAAGAACTATTAAGATAAAATCAAAGAAAACTCAGATGAGTGTGTATGAATAAATGTGTATATGTATGTGTAGTGTGACCTAAGTGTAAGTAGAAGTAGCAAGACATGCCTGTAATCTTGCATATTTATGAGACAGACAAAAGACATCAGCAATCCTACCATCATGTAAAACAATTACAGGCTTTCGTTTTACACTCACTTGGCAGGACGGTAGTACCTCCCTGGGTGGTTGCTGTCTACCAACCTACTATCTGTATATATATATATATATATATATATATATATATATATATATATATATTTATATATATATATATTTAACAAGTCGGCCATCTCCCACTAAGGCAGGGTGACCCCAAAAAGAAAATACTTTCATCATCATTCAACACTTTCACCTCAATCACATATAATCACTGTTTTTGCAGAGATGCCCAGAATACAACAGTTTAGAAGTATATACGTATAAAAATACACAATATATCCCTGCAAACTGCCAATATCTCAACCCCCTCCTTTAGAGTGCAGGCATTGTACTTCCCATTTCCAGGACTCAAGTCCAGTTATATAAAATAACCGGTTTTCCTGAATCCCTTCACTAAATATTACCCTGCTCACACTCCAACAGCTCGTCAGGTCCCAAATACCATTTGTCTCCATTCACTCCTATCTAACACGCATACGCACGCTTGCTGGAAGTCCAAACCCCTCGCCCACATCACCTTTACCCCCTCCCTCCAACCTTTTTGAGGACGACCCCTACCCTGCCTTCCTTCCCCTACAGATTTATAGGCTCTCCATGTCATTCTACTTTGATCCATTCTCTCTAAATGACCAAACCACCTCAACAAGTCGGTCGTCTCCCACCGAGGCAGGGTGACCCAAAAAGAAAGAAAATCCCCAGAAAGAAAATATGTACTTTCATCATCATTCAACACTTTCACCTCACTCATACATAATCATTGTCTTTGCAGAGGCGCTCAGAGACGACAGTTTAGAAGTCCCTCCAGACTGCCAATATCCCAAGCCCCTCCTTTAAAGTGCAGGCATTGTACTTCCCACTGAGGTAAGATGACCCGAAAAAGAAACACTTTCATCGTCATCTAGACTCAAGAAATCGTAATGACACGATTGCAAACAAACCATACCCCCGGCCGGGATTGAACCCGCGGTCATAGAGTCTCAAAACTCCAGCCCGTCTTATTGTGGCTAGCTGGTCTAGTGGCTAACGCGACGGGCTGGAGTTTTGAGACTCTATGACCGCGGGTTCAATCCCGGCCGGGGGTATGGTTTCATCGTCATCTACTATCACTGTCTTGCTAGAGGAGTGCAGATGCACGTGTAGGAAGGCTGTACTCATCTATTTGTATTCACCTATTTGAGGTTGTTGGGGCTGAGTCTTGGTTTCTGTCCCTGTTTCTTAGACCGTTACTCGGTTCATGCTCTCCTAGCCATGTGGGTCCTGTCATACCTATGCTTCAAGCTATGTGTAGATTCTGTATTACTTGCTTGTCCAGGTCATTCCACTTCCTGATGACTCAAGAGGCTGAAGAAATACTTCCTGTAGTGAAGGCTGAGTACAGGACAAGTCATGAGTCGGGTCAGTTTGTGTGGTTTTGTAGAACAGATTGTCTGTACGTGTGTGGCACGAAGGAAGTAAAACTTAGAAAGTACTGTAATTGGAACAATGAGGTAATTCAGCACTCTTGTCAATAAAGAGGTACAGTATATACACACCAAACAGATGAGGACAAGGAAAAGCTACAGAAAAGATCTGGACAAACTGCAGGGTTGGTCAGATAAGTGGCTGCTTGAATTCAACCCCCAGCAAATTCAAGGGGTAAGAAGACTGGTCACAAAGTATAGACTTTGGGAATAGAGACTGCAGACTTGAGATCTGGGTGTAAGCAGAGTGCCTACCATATCACCAGAGGGTTACTTCAACCAAAACTTCTGTAGCCACCTTGCCTGACAAATTCGAGTAGCCCTCAGGAATTTCAACAGAGTTATTCTGGGTGCTTTATACAACATATTTCAGACTCATCTTGAAGTACACAGCACCAATGAGGAACCCACACCTAAAGAACTGTTGAAAGTGCAGAAGTATACAATGAAGCTAGTTCCAGAGCTAAGGGATATGACCTACAAGAAAAGGCTAAAGGAACCGAATGTAACAATCCTGAAGGACAGAAGGACCAGGTGAGACAAAATAACATGCAAAATAGTCAGAGGAACTGATAGGGCAGACGGGAAAAGGTTGGTTTAGAGGTAGGAAATAGGTATTTGGGAGCACAGCTAGAAGCTAAAGACAGAAGAATCACAGGGATGTCAGGAAGTATTGCTCTTCAGTCTCAAGAGTGGTCGGAAAGTGGTGGAAGCAGACTATACATAGTTTTAAGAATAGGTACAATAGGGCCCACATGGCCAGGGAAGAGTGAATTTGGCAAGCGGCAAGTTGAAAGGTGGGACCAGAAGCTATGAATCGACCTCTGCAGCCACATATAGGTGAGTACACATACATATATTCATATGCACACAGGGGTAGGGACACATAGGTGAGGTGTGTGGGGTCAATCCTCAATCTAAAAAGAATCATCTTATAGTGACGAGGCCTGTTGAAAGAGGAGGGCCAAACATTCATAATTTGTTGAACTTTGTATAGCTTGTTGCTTGAATGTCTGCAGGGCCCACTGGACCTACCACTTTCCAAGGACATACTCATATATATGGCCCATGAAAGTGCTGTGAAGCAGAGGTCTGCTACTATGTGAACCCCTCAAGGAAGGTTCCTTGATGTTGGTGAGGGGCTCTTGATTTAGGGAATTGGATCTGTGCTCCAGTTCCCTGAATTAAGCCTGAATGCCTTCCACATCCCCCTCCCCAGGCGCTGTATAATCCTCCGGGTTTAGCGCTTCCCCCTTGATTATAATAATAATAATAATGCTACTATGTGTGCCTAACACAGCAGCCTTCATCTCGGCATGTGCCCTCACATTACCCGGAACCCCAGCATGGCCAGGGCACCAAAAACTCCGCATTCTTGTGCTGTGCTTGTATCTTCAGGACCACACTGTTGAGAGAAACATGTATTCGTCCTCTTAGTTAATTGCATCAGTAATGCCTCACATGCAGTCACTAACAGGCCACAAACCTACACACTCGCACTCCCACACTATCTTTTCTAGATCACTTAAATTGCAGTCTCACCACAACCCACTGCCCGATTGATTTCGTCCAGGATGGGAGCAATCTTCTCCTCATAGTAGACAGTCTGGTCCACAGCTACCTCGCGTGGAGCGGCAGCAACCTCGGAGCTCCTGGCTTCCACTTCACCTTCCTCTGAAGATAATCATAAAAGTATGTATAAATATAAACAAAAATCATTAAGAAATAAAGTATTAATTATACCATAAATGTTTACGAGTTATTCAAAGAGAAGTTATTGTCAGTGAGGTCATCTTGCTTAGAGTAATAACTGTGTACACTTGCTATATCACTTGTTCATAGCCTCCCAATTTTCCACAGGGGTATTCCTTACTCTGACTATTTTTCAGTGATCTCTCGGCAACTCCACAGCCACTGGTAACAACGTTGGCCCAGGTTAGTCCATAAATTGGCCATAAATTGGCCCGGTGGCCTGGTGGCTAAAGCTCCCGCTTCACACACGGAGGGCCCGGGTTCGATTCCCGGCGGGTGGAAACATTTCGACACGTTTCCTTACACCTGTTGTCCTGTTCACCTAGCAGCAAATAGGTACCTGGGTGTTAGTCGACTGGTGTGGGTCGCATCCTGGGGGACAAGATTAAGGACCCCAATGGGAAATAAGTTAGACAGTCCTCGATGACGCACTGACTTTCTTGGGTTATCCTGGGTGGCTAACCCTCCGGGGTTAAAAATCCGAACGAAATCTTATCTTATCTTCTGTCAAACTGCGTTTAAGTTTATGACCATCTTCCCACTGTCGTGTTTGGGAAATTGTGCTCCCCATCTACGCATTGACCCCAGATGCCTTACTCATGGACACCTTATGCATAAACACCCAGCACCTCCCTTCGACGACTGTCTGGTTGCACTGTCACTTCACCATATCTTAAATTGTCCAGCCTAACAGTGAGCTCGCAGAAATCACCTCTGTCGTCTCCGTTGCCCCAACACATTAACTGACATTCTTGCTGAAAGTCCCACCTTTGATGAAGATGCTCTTTGATTTGTACCAACTGTGCAGCGCTGTATGACCCTAGTGGGTTTAGCACTTGGCTTACTTTCTAAGGCCTACTTTTAGTGGAAAGTAATCTCCCTCTTTCCTACACACCCTAACCTGAGCCTCACTATCCTCAAAAACACACACATATATAATCTAAACTGATATCTAAACTGTCGTATCTGGGCGCCTCTGCAAAGACAGTTATGTGTGAATGATGGTGAAAGTGTTTCTTTTCTTGGGGGGGTCACCCTGCCTCGGTGGGAGACGGCCGACGTGTTGAATATATATATATATATATATATATATATATATATATATATATATATATATATATATATATATATATATATATATATATATATATATATTATATCAACAAACCGGCCGCATCCCACCAAGGCAGGGTGACCCAAAAAGAAATGTATATACAGGAGAGGGGATTACTAGCCCCTTGCTCTCGGCATTTTAGTCGCCTCTTCCGACACGCCTGGCTTACGGAGGAAGAATTCTGTTCCACTTCCCCATGGAGATAAGAGGAAATAAATAAGAAGCACTTGACTTGTACTCGTTGGAACGCAGGAGGGAGAGATATATCATAATCTACACTTGGAAAATCTTGGAAGGAATGGTCCCAAATCTGCACACAGAAATCACTCCCTACGAAAGTAAAAGACTGGGCAGGCGATGCAAAATGCCGCCAATAAAAAGTAGGGGCGCCATTGGTACACTAAGAGAAAACACCATAAGTGTCCGGGGCCCAAAACTGTTCAACAGCCTCCCATCAAGCATTAGGGGAATTGCCAATAAACCCCTGGCTGCCTTCAAGAGAGAGCTGGACAGATACCTAAAGTCGGTGCCGGATCAGCCGGGCTGTGGCTCGTACGTCGGACTGCGTGCGGCCAGCAGTAACAGCCTAGTTGATCAGGCCCTGATCCATCGGGAGGCCTGGTCATGGACCGGGCCGCGGGGGCGTTGATCCCCGGAATAACCTCCAGGTAACCTCCAGGTATCCAGGTAGTAAGGAAACAGAAGAAAACCCAGAAGTGTGTGTGTGTTTGTACATGCATGTGTAGTGTGACCTAAGTGTAATTAGAAGTAGCAATACGTACCTAAAATCTTGCATGTTTGCGAGACAGAAAAAAGACACCAGCAATCCTACCATTATGTAAAACAATTACAGGTTTCCGTTTTACACTCGGCAGTACTTTTCTGGGTGGTTGCTGTCTACCAATCTATTACTATTACTACTCCCCTCAAGGGAGGTTCCTTGGCGCTGGTGAAGGGTTCTTGATCTAGGGAATTGAATCTGTGCTCTGGTTCTCTGAATTGAGCCTGAATACCTTCCATCCCCCCCCATGCGCTGTATAATCCTACGGGTTTAGCGCTCCCCCATGACTATAATAATAATTAGCTCGATCGCTAGCGCACTCAGCTCACACACTGAGGTCCGGGGTTCGAATCTCCTCTGGTACGGCTGGAAAACATTAGGGACGTGTTTCCAGAAGACACCTGCTGTCCCTGTCCCTATTCACCCACCAGTTTGAAATGGGTACCTGGGTGTTAGTCGACTGGTGTGGGTCGCATCCTGAGACAAAACTGACCTAATTTGCCCGAAATGCTCAGCATAATAAGGGACTTTCTTTATAGTAGTATGTCATTGATGTCAGCTAGGACTGTATACCTTGTACATGTACTTGTAGTAAATAAAGATATTATTATATTATTACTACTACTACTAAATGTATGCGCATTTAGTAGTAGCAAATCTGGAACTTTTTTTTACATAGGATATCGACTTCCAACATGTCTGGAGTTTTCGTACATGTTTGTTTTTTGACCAATACACGACTTGCAACAGATAGGTAAAGTGCTAATACATAGGAAAAGTACCTAAGGAAGGATGACTATGTAACATATTTACCAGGTTCAGTTGACTGGTTGTTGACACGACCTTCAACAGCATGGCGCCAGTCCCTGTCCACTCCAGGACGCTTAGAAATGCTCTTCTTCCTTTCTAACTTCTTGCCGCGGATAGGTGGCTTGAGAACCACTTTGGCAGCTAGCATGGAATCGTCCACCTGACCTACGACCCCCGGCTGAAGTTACAAGAGGGTAAGATATTACGCAAGGTCAATAAGGAAGATTCAAAAGTTACAAAAGAATGAGGCATTCATCAAGGAGGAAGATTTAGAAAGCAAGAAAGAGCAATTTTTTCCTTTTTAGGTTTGTCCCCAGGGGAAGATATCTTTTCTTAAAAGTAAACCAAAAATAATCCACCACGTAAGTGGAATAAACAGAAGAGTGGAGATAATAAAAAATGATACTACAACCCTGAATTTCACATGAGGCTTATTTATTCTGGTCAAAGTAATTATTATTTCCGAAGGCGTTTAAAGCAGAGGTCACAGCGCTGGATTTAGGGAGTAATCTATTTATTCTAAGGAAAAGATATTCCTCTTTCCATGGATCAAGAGACAAAACATCAAGGTAATTCACCACTTTGAAGTCGTCTAATGAAAGGAAGTGGATTAAAAATATAGTGATACCTAACTACCTTGCTTTACTTATTTCGAGAGTCCGTTTTGTGACAGTAGGTTGGTAAGGTTCGTCAGGAAGCAGGCAAATGTTTCTGATGCTGGTCTTAGTCAATGATGAACCCCTTTGAGCTTTTGGTCAAAGCTGACCGAGGCCTTCCGCTGGGCTACGGTCACCATTTAAAAAAATTATGGTCATTTAAACCATTGTTATTTTTTTGTTTGTGACAGTGAAATACGTTTGACAGGAATAAAAATTGACAAAAAAAGTCATCTGAAAAGTTTGATATAATAAAGAAAAAATGAGAGAGAGGTTAGAAGAGAGTGAGAATATCAAGATAAAAAACTGTAGCTCGGTGAAGTGGTACAATATCCGAAAAGTTGTTACAGTGAATTCATACCCACGTAAGGGAAATATTCAGAAATATTCCTGAGTAACTACACTATAGCTATATACAAGCTATTACACAAAGGAATACAGTAACACCCTGCTGGGCTGCTATGTCACTGAAAATGGCGTCACTATGCCACATACAAGGCTGCTATATCACTGTAAACGGTGTCACTATACCATATACAAGGCTGTTATATCAGTGTAAGCACTGCTACTGTACCATTGCAATCAGTGTCACTATACCACATACAGAAGTTCTATAGCAATAGGAATTGCTCTATACCATTTTAATAAGCGTTACTGTGTCACTAATAGTTGTTATAACATTAATCTATGTTACTAAGAGGTCTGTTATAACACTAAACAGTGTTACTATACCACATACAGGTCTGTTATAACTAATTAGTCTTACTGTACCGCATACAGGGCTGTTATGATACTAATTAGTGTTACTATGCCACATACAAGGCTGTTATAACACTGTAATCATTGCTATCCATTGTCAATGTATTACCACCCGGAACGGTGCTACACCATTCCAAAAACAGTACTAACATCCCCCCCACTACGACAGAATTACGATACTGTAAAGAGAACTACAATTATAGAACATGCAGAGCTATTAGATTATTACAAAGAGGCTCAATATATTATATCCAAGGAGCTATATATTATCATAATACACAGGGGCTACTCTATAATCTATAAAGTTGCAATTTTAAGTCAGGCCTTTCCAGGCAGAGTGCCCTAATGTTGGTGAAGGGTTCTTGCTCCTAGGACCCGAACCTGCACTCATCTTCCTTGGATTAAACCTGATTACACGTTATTTTTCAGATGTTATACAACCTTTATAGGTCTAGCTTACCCCGTTAATATAATAATATATAAAATACAACTGGTGATTTACATACGAGGCTAATATGTTTGCGCCTATATAAAGCTAGTACTATATACTACTAGATCAACGCTGGAATATATCTACGCAAAGCTACTGTATTATCGTGCGCATAGTTACTCATTTATCGCGTACACGGGATTCCTCAAGTATCGTAGGTCACAACCACATCCGCCTTAATATAGCTGCCCAACCGCCGTGTCTAAGAGACTATGAACTGCTTAACTTTACCTGTAAGAGTGGCGGCCGGTGCTCTTGTAGAAGTCTGCTAGGCTCCGGCGGTGCCTTAGAGCCCTTGCAAGTCTCCTGCAGTGGCTGCTGGAACTCCCTTCTGAGCTTCAGTGAAGATTCCAGGTCACTCACCTCCAGGTCAGAGTTGTTAAGCAGCTGCTGGAACAACGGTGACGAAGTGATCGACTCTGCCTCCCCCCCCAGACGCACCTGCATCATTAATTAGGTTTAAGTATAATCAATCACACAGTATCATTAGGGCTTCATGTAATCTGTTCACCACCAGTCAAGAATATTTTAATCCCTACAACAAGTACTAAATAAAACTGAGGGTATACACAGATATACACATCTCGGGGTATATATTCTTGCATGGTTAGGGAATTGGATCTGTGCTCTAGTTCCCCGAATTAAGCCTGAATGCCTTCTACATCCCCCCCCCCAGGCGTTGTATAATCCTCCGGGTTTAGCGCTTCCCCCTTGATTTTAATAATAATAGAACCTGAAGAGGATAGGCTTGTTTTATCTCCCCTTTGTGAATGTCATAATAATAAAAATGAATGTATTCAAGAAGGTGCCATGATGCTGCTGAAGGGCTCTTGATCTAGGGAATTGGACCTACCTTCTTTGTTAAAGTTAGGGAAGGTGAGGCTACTGTACCTTTAATCATTTCAGCTTAAGGAATATTAACTAATTCTAAGAAAATGTCCTTGTGGGTTTAGCGCTTTGTTTTGATTATAATAATAAGAGAACGCATGGAAAAACTGTAAATATTAATAACCTGGGAGCATGTTCTCTCAACAGAGAAGATTATTATTATTATAATCAAAAAGAAGCGCTAAGCCACAAGGGCTATACAGCGCTGCAGGGCAGGAAGGAAGCGAGGGCATCAGGTGGCAAAAGGGAGGTGGATGAGTAATAGGTTACGGATAACAGCGGAGCAGTGGATGGTGAAAGGGTAAAGGGCAGCAAGAGACTGAGCTAGAAAGGGCTGAGGGGAGTGCGTAAGGTATCATCATCAGAGTTTGTGGAGTAAATCAGTCGTTGTCAAGAAGTCAATGAGAGAGTCAGGATTAAAGGAGGGTCCATCAGCAAGAAGGGAAGGTAAAGAGAGAGTAGTAGAACGAAGACGGCGTTGGAGGTAAATTCTGCGTGCTCGTTGATAGAGAGGGCAGTCTAACAGAATGTGGCTAATCGATACAGGAACTTGACACTGCTCACAGAGAGGTACAGGGTGCCTCTCCATGAGATACCCGTGAGTAAGACGCGTGTGGCCAATGCGAAGGCGGGGAGAGTGGTCTCCCAACCACGGCACTAATGACAAGAAGACGGCCAGTAACCTATGCTCGGTTTAATAGAATAAAGTTTGTTACCAAGCAGAGTTGACCAACGTTGTTGCCAACGGGCGTGAAGGTGGGTAGCTATTGCAGCAAAATAGTCCAGAAATGGAACACCTCTATAGGAAATTGGTAGGTCATGTACTGCTGACCGCGCAGCAGTGTCTGCCTGTTCATTGCCCTGTACGTCGACATGACCAGGGACCCAACAAAAAATAATATCTTTATGCTTCGTAGAGATACGGCGTAGCCAAAGTTAGATACGGGGAACTAGGGGGTGAGATGTATCAAATTTTCGTATAGCCTGTAGAGCACTAAGGGAGTCAACAGAGAAGATACTTTATAATCTATATGTGGGAAAAACCAACGTTGCGATGTAATGACGTAATGGAAGGAAACACCCCTCAAGGTAGGTTCCTTGACGCTGGTGCGGGGCTAGCTGTATAGCCCTTGTGGCTTAGCGCTTCTTTTTGATTATAATAATGGTGAGGGGCTCTCTATCTAGGGAATTGGATCTCTGCTCCGGTTCCCTAAATTGAGCCTGAATACCTTCCACCCCCCACCCCACGTGCCTGTATATTCCTACGGGTTTAGCGCTCCCCCATGATTATAATAATAATAATATGGAAGGAACAAGGGTTAAATTTTTAACATTTATAGGTACATATGTGTAACCATTTATGTACGCATATGTATTAGGTAATTATGGAAACATTGGGGTGAGAGCAGAGGAGGGATTGTTGAGGTGGTTCAGATACGTAGAGAGGATGGAACAAAACAGAATGACTTCGAGAGTGTATAAAACTGTAGTGAAGGCGGGGTAGGGGTCGGCCTAGGAAATGTTGGAGGGAGGGGGTTCTGGAGGTTTTATGGGCGAGGGGCTTGGACTTCCAGCAAGCATGCGTGAGCGTGTTAGGAAACAGCGAATGGAGACAAATGGCTTTTAGGACATGGGGTGCTGTTGGAGTGTAAGCGAGATAACATTTATGAAGGGATTCAGGGAAACCGGCAGACCGGACTCGAGTCCTGGAGATGGGAAGTATAGCGCCTGCACTCAGAAGGAAGGGTATTAATGCTGCAGTTTTATAACTGTAGTGTAAGCGCGCCTCTGGCAAGACAGTGATGGAGTGAATGATGAAAGTTTTTCTTTCTCGGGCCACCCTGCCTTGGTGGGAAACGGCCGATGTGTTAATAAAAAAAATAATATTCTTATATGTGTGTGGGGGGGGGGGAAGCTGACTGGTAATAGTGAACATGTATATATATATATATATATATATATATATATATATATATATATATATATATATATAGATATATATATATATATATATATATATTTTATATTATATATATATATATATAAGTGGATATATATGTTAAACTCATGCATGTGTTATGTGACTATTAAAACGTATACAGTCATGTGAATGTCAATAGGTATCCACATAAGCTCTTAAGTCCACAAATGGAGGAGCCCCACAACGAGACCTGAAAGTCTCCCAGCTAAAACTGACCAATTTCAACACTATGGATGAAATCCTTCTTGCTTGACGGGATATAACAGAGAAACAGTTTTTGTTCCCATTAAATAACTATGCGTATAGGGTAGTAGCATACTGCTGACGTATCCAATATTGCTAAATATATATAAACAAGTGTATACCTTCTTGATGTTGTCTGGTCGCGATTCTGGGCTGGGACTGGAGTTGTGAGAGACGTGGTCCTCCTTCTCCTCGCTATCCTCTGACTGAAGCAACAACAGAAAAAAACTACGGTTATTTAAAGTCAAAGGTTAATTTACAAATGAGTACTACAAGTCACAGTACAGTGACTGGAACAATTTACAAATAACCCCAAATTTGGATAGGAAATATTCTCTGTACCACGACTCCATGGAACACTAGAAAGGAAACCTTAGAAGACGTTTCAGTCCTTCCTGAACCATTAGTTAAATTTCGATCAAAGTTAGTATGAATACTAATGAGGGTCGATAAAGTTTAGTAGGAGTGTTAATTAGGTTTAACATAGGTCAGTAATACCTGTCAGAATTAACGCGGTATTAAGAAAAGCAGGGTGTATGGGGGTGAGGTACTTACAGACAAGCTGTGTATAATGGTAAGTGTGGAGCTTCTAGGAAGGGCGCCCAGTGTTTTCCTCGGCGTCCGTCCAGTATCATCCCCCTCTTCTGTTTCCTCTGGCACTGTGGATGTGACACAGACAGGTCAAGATGAGATACAGACACAGGAATCACATTGGTGGATGTGACACACAATATATGAAGCTCAAGCATCACTCATACTGATCCTTAGCGCTATAGTATCACTTAACACGTAACACATGAACATTCTCTAGTCATGTTCTTAAACTGAGACCTTCCCTAACAATCATCAATGAATTAAAAGTTACAACAAATGCTATTGTCGGAATATAACGTAAATATAAATAATATCTAACACTTGTTCAGGCATATAACAGAAATACATAACAAGAAAGGTCAATTTATGTTATTTATATAAATCTTACAAGCATTTGCAAGATTTATATAAATAACATAGACAAGAAGGTTAAGGTACTTTTTTTATCTCTTGACCATCAAATAGTATATATAAAAAGTGTAATATTTCAAAGGAAAAAATACCATAATAATCTCAAAAATGAACTGAAAAAAATTATCTAGTAAATAAATGGCTGAAATAATACAGGTAATAATTCTTTAAAATTATGTAACCTAATTTATTTTATTTTCTCTTTCTCTCTTAAAATGCTAAGAATGTTCTATAAAATGGCAGTTTTGTCTCTTATACGACTATATAGTTAAAAGAAATAATGTTTCTTATACGACCCTAACAAAAAGAAAAATGTCCATTCTTGTCTTTTATACGGCTGTAAGGAAGAAAAAAAGGCAATTCGTGTCTTTTATGGGACCGTAAAGAGGAGAAAAAGGGCAATTCTTGTCTATTACATAAGCCTGGGATAAGATACTCACAGTCGCAGAGAGAGAATGCACGGAACTGGTGTCTCTGGACGCGACGAGATGATATCAGTGCTGGAAGCTTGGTCTGTAGGGAAGGTGAGTGTGTGGGTTAGTTGCAGTGTAGGCGACAAAGGGCCAGATAACGGGCAAAACGAGGAAAATATACAAGGAAGGGATAGAGAAAGAGTGGGGAAAAATATGGGATAGGTTGATGAAGAGGATAAACAAAATACTTAACAGACGTAGGAACTAGAAGTCATATCCAATTGAAGGCTATACACATATAAAAAGGATCCAACAGTGATGTTATAGACATATGGCTACAGACTTGCCGATTGCCAGACTCATGTAGATAGCTGTAAACAGCTTAATGCGAGCACTCACCACCCACACACATTAGTCCAAACACACACACACACACACACACACACACACACACACACAAAACACTCACACACACACACACACACACACACACACACACACCCACACACAAAGGCACACAAAGGCAATGGGGCCAGATAACATCTCCCCATGGGTATTGAGAGAGGGAGCAGAGGCGCTATGTGTACCCCTAACAACAATATTCAATACATCTATCGAAACAGGGAGATTGCCTGAGGCATGGAAGACAGAAATGTAGTCCCAATCTTTAAAAAAGGAGACAGACATGAAGCATTAAACTACAGACCAGTGTCACTGACATGTATAGTATGCAAAATCATGGAAAGATTATAGGAGAAGAGTGGTGGAACACCTAGAAAGGAATGATCTCATCAACAGCAGCCAGCAGGGTTTTTCAGGGACGGGAAATCCTGTGTCCAAACCTACTGGAGTTCTATGACATGATGACAGCAGTAAGACAAGAGAGAGAGGGGGGTGGGATTGCATTTTCTTGGACTGCAAGAAGGCGTTTGACACAGTTCCACACAAGGGATTGGGTGCAAAAACTGGAGGACCAAGCAGGGATAACAGGGAAGGCACTACAATGGATCAGGGAATACTTGTCAGGAAGACAGCAGCGAGTCAGGGTTTCGTGGCGAGGTGTCAGAGTGGGCACCTGTGACCAGGGGGGTTTTCCCGCAGGGGTCAGTCCTAGGACCAGTGCTGTTTCTGGTATTTGTGAACGACATGACGGAGGAATAACTCTGAGGTGTCCCTGTTTGCAGATGACGTGAAGTTGATGAGAGAATACACTCGATCGAAGACCAGGCAGAACTACAAAGGGATCTGGACAGGCTGCAGACCTGGTCCAGCAATTGGCTCCTGGAGTTCAATCCCACCAAGTGCAAAGTCATGAATTGGGGGAAGGGCAAAGAAGGCCGCAGACGGAGTACAGTCTGGGGGGTCAGAGACTACAAACCTAAACTCAAGGAAAAAAGATCTTGGGGGGGAGTATAACACCAGGCACATCTCCTGAAGCGCACATCAACCCCAAAAAAACTGCTGCAGCATATGGGCGCCTAGCAAACCTCAGAACAGCATTCCGACATCTTAATAAGGAATCGTTCAGGACCCTGTACACCGTATACGTTAGGCCCATATTGGAGTATGCGGCACCAGTTTGGAACCCACACCTACCCAAGCACGTAAAGAAAACTAAGAAAAGTGCAAAGGTTTGCAACAAGACTAGTCCCAGAGCTAAGAGGTATGTCCTACGAGGAAGGTTAAGGGAAATCAACCTGACGACACTGGAGGACAGGAGAGATAGGGGGGACATGATAACGACATACAAAATCTGAGAGGAATTGACAAGGTGGACAAAGACAGGATGTTCCAGAGATTGGACACAGTAACAAGGGGACACAGTTGGAAGCTGAAGACACAGATGAATCACAGGGATGTTAGGAAGTATTTCTTCAGCCACAGAGTAGTCAGTAAGTGGAATAGTTTGGGAAGCGATGTAGTGGAGGCAGGATCCATACATAGCTTTAAGCAGAGGTATGATAAAGCTCACGGCTCAGGGAGAGTGACCTAGTAGCGATCAGTGAAGAGGCGGGGCCAGGAGCTCGGACTCGACCCCCGCAACCTCAACTAGGTGAGTACAACTAGGTGAGTACACACACACACACACACACACAGTAGGCAAGTGAGACAGGGTTCCACTTCTTCAAACCTCTGTACTAGGGCCAGTGAAGTTTATGACATATGTAAATAACATGCCGGAGTAGATTGACATATTCCTGTTCACAAGTTATGCAAAGGTAATAAAGACTAAAAAAAAGGAAGATAAAAAAAAGAGGTTAAAACTGGGCTTGAGCAAATTACAAGACTGGTTAGACAGGCGATTATTAGACTTCAACCCCATCAAGTGAAAGGTTATGAAAGTTGGAGTGGGGCAAAGACCATAAATGCTGTAGAAGTTCGGTAAAAACCTCGCTAAAGAATAGGACCTAGGTTGACCATTGTACTGAACATATCACCAGAGGAGTACATCAACCGAACAACCTCAACAGCAAATGCTCGTTTGGCAAATTTAAGATTATTTTTTTTAGAAACGTTAACAGTCACTGATGGCCATACATTATATACGACATATGTCAAGCCCATCTTGGAGTATACAACACCATGAGCCCACACATAAAAGTTGCTAAGACACTGAAAATTTAAAATAAAAATTGCATTGTGAATAGTCCCGGAGATATGGGTATGAACTAATAGACTAAAGCGTAAAGGACCGGAGGAGACATGATAATCACATACAAAATACTAAGAGGACTTGATAGGGGGAGTAATTGATAGACTGCTAGAGACAGCAATACAGCTACTGTGGGACACAGTTAAAAGTTAAGACAGTTGAATCATAGGGAAGTATTTATTCAGGTCCAAGGAGGTCAGAAACTTGAATGAACTGAGCGAAGAGGTGGTGAAGGCTGCCTCCAGTCAGTATGCTAGGGGCCGAAGAGGCTAGGAAAGATTGAACCTAGTAGATGTCAGTTAAGAGGCAGGGCTAGGAATTGAGACTCGTCCCCTACAACCACATACAGTTAAAAGAACAACAACAATAACGCACACCTTGATACCTGGTAACTAATACACATGTCGAACCGAAACCTAGCAGAGTCGAAACAACAATTGTTGTCCCCGCCCGAGGACTCAACTTACCGTGTCCACATCATCGACTCGAAGCTTGGCGGAGGCGATGGGCAGCAGCCTGGGTCCTGAAGCAGACGCACGACCGCTAACGTCATTGCTGTCGAAGTGAAGCGGCGAGAGTCTGTGGGAGACGGACGCTAGTTATTTCCTAGTCTCTTGCACTCTAATGCTAGTTATGTTTCTTGCAAGAATAGTAAATTTACATGTTTATAACCACATTTAGTGAAAACTGGTCAAAATTATAACGCATGTCTAAATCGGTTTAATCTGATAAGCGACCACCTGGACTGCTAGCGTCCTCTTATCTATCACATAAGTCTCTAACTTATATTTCTTCTTTTCTAAGGCTCCTCTTCTGGATGCTGAATGATAAGTGGCAAAACGATGAAGGAATCCACCCCTTTCCCTTCCTTTTCACTTTCTTTGGTATTTGCTCTTCTCCTTTCACCTTCCTTACCTTCCCCCGGTTCCTTCCCTCCTTCCTTTCCTCCCTGCTGGTCGCTTCCCTCCCTTTCGGATTTTCTCCTCCTCCATCCTCTCTTCCCCATCCCCTCTCCAACAACCCTCTTCCCTTATCGTCCATTTCTATTTCCCTTCATCCCCACTGGTGATACACTGGTACAATATATAGTGTGTAAATAAGACCATACCAGGGCTATGGCATTTTATTTATGAAGACGTCGTCCCCAGGGATTTTATCATTACATGGATTACTTAAATCTTTGCTTGACGAAACTTCTTCATATATAAAACGCGTCTTATTTTTTCCTAAATAAAACGCCTTATTTCTTAATAAATAAAATGCGCCCTATTTCTTCATAAATAAAAGGCGTCTTATTTCCGTCCGTTGTGCTTGCAACTTACGTGAAGGAGCTGGGAGGACGCTCTCCTCGCGTGGTAACGGTGCCGCTGAAGAGAGTCCTCTCTCTCTCCCTGGGCGTGAAGGGCCGCTTCGTCTGCACCGTTCTCACGCCCATCCGCTGCACGCTGGCACCACCCACCAGCGGAGAGTCGCCCAGGGACGCCCGCGCCTCTCGGATGATTTGGGCGGAGGTCTTACGGTCGGGGGGAACGTAGAAGGGCGAAAGGACATCGGGGCCACCCATATCCCTCCGTCTCTCTACTGCCTGGCTCATACTGTCTTAGGGGAGACGGGCACGGAGAAGTAGAGCCTCTTCTAAGGGGTATAGGGGTAAGGGATCAGTAGGGGTCTTGTTAGGGTTTAAACGTTTTAACTTAAGGCACGGGGAGGCTTGGACTGGATGAAGTCCGCTGGTACTGTCCCGGTCCGGATCTTGTCCAGTTGGTGACCCGGCGTTAGGGCATTGGAAGGTGTTGAGTGTCGAAGGATGGGATTTGAGAGGGTGTTTTGGAGACTGTTTAGGGATGATTTATGCGATGTTGTGGTTTTCCAATGTATTAACTAAGCTGTCGAGGTAAGCAAAAGAGTCCTAGAAAATTTGAAGTTGTTTGAAGGGGTGATTGTTATTATATTCACTTAAAGCCCTAAGCCTGTACATTTAAAGTGTGTTATCAAGGCTTTCAACTGAATGGTTCAAGGGTACTGAAGTCTCGTTTAGGAATTCACAACGTATGGACTGCAAAAGATCCTGGTGTAGCCTCTCTTTCAAGCCCTGTGAAAAAAAAAATATTAAAAATAACATTTAAAAGAAGAATTATACAATTACAATAAAAATGACAAAAGTGAGACAGAAATGATGCAGCTGATAAGGAAAATGGCTTTGCTGAAGAAGAAATAACGCAGATCACCCATCACAAGAATGGCTACGCTCACACTCCCTTGTAGTTGGAGAGCAGGAAAATAGTTTTTTTTTAGTTTAATATGTTTATTATGCACCCCATACCCATCCTGTGGGCGGTAGTCAAAAGATTACAGAGGTACATAATTGGTCCAGGGACTGGACTCCAAAGTTTTGATAGCTGAGCAAGTTACAGAGGTAATGAACTCACAATTTACAAAGGTAATGAACTCCAGGTAGGTCTGGTCACAATCATGACAAGTTACAAAGGTATTTACAGATTACAGAGGTACGTAATGGGTCCAGGGACTGAGCCCCAAAGTTTTGATAGCTGAACTAGGTACATAGGTAATGAACTCACAAGTTACAAAGGTAATGAATTCTGTAAGAATGGTTACTTACGTTTATACATGGGTACAATCATGAACAAATTATAGTGTAATGAGCAATTTACACTTCCACACCCGGTCACAACTTAATGAGTTTTTGGGCAAATATGTTTTGAGTCCCCCACACACACACACACACACACACACACACACACACACACACCACATATCCACAACAAAATCAGTCATCTTTGATATTGTCTCACGAAATTGTAATTACACGACTTCTAACAAATCAGGGAACATTGGCTCGAACCCATGGCATGATCCCAAAATAACCCCAACCCCAAACACATTTCAACACCGTTTTTTAGGGCTCCCCGGGGGGTTAAGCCTTACCCCCATGGCCCCCCATTAAAAAATGCTCGACAGGCGTACCTAGACTCCGCCAAAAACAAAAAAATTAAAATTTACGTAAATTTAAAAGAAAATCATGTGGACTTTATTTCAGTTGCTTAAAATTTCGAAAATTTAAAACCTTTTTCCCAAACAGTCTGCAAAAGCCCTTAACCAAAAACTTTTTTTTTCAAAAAATTTAAGAATATTTTCAAACCCCAGGACTTGGGTGCTTTAACTTTTGATCCTTTTAAAGAGGCCCCGCCCTTTTCCCAATTTTTCCAAAGAAATCAAGGGGAAAAATTGGGGCTATTTGGTTTTTGGGAAAAATGTTTAAACGGATAAGGGTCTTTCCTTTTTAAATTTTTTACCAAACAAAAATCAACCCAAAAAGGGGATGGGAAAGTTTTGTTTATCCAAAGGAAAACACCTTCTTTTTTTTCCATAAAAAATATCCCTAAATAAGGGGTGAGGATCTTAAAAAAAATTTCGTTAAAAAATCACCCGGAATCGTGGAAACGATTCCGTAATTCAACCAAGAGGGAAAGCCCGGTCCCCGGGGGGGAAAACCTTCCCCCGGGGAAAGGTCCGTTATATAACCTAACACCCTTGGGGGAAGTTTTTAAGGTTCAAGTTCGGGAAAAAATTCCCCCAAACCAGTTATGAGAGGAACATAAAAACAAGGAAAAGTTTTTAAAGGGTAATATCCTTTGGTAAATAAACCCCCACCCCGGGGTTCGGGCACCCAATAAGAAATAGGAAACAATTTAGAGTTTTTTAAAATTTTTATGGTTTGGACGGTCCACCCCAAAAGGTGGAATCTCATAATAAAAATTTTTAACTAATATGTTGAAAAATCTGGGGGTTTTTAAAAAAAGGGGGCCGTGGTCCTTTTTCCTTTAGGGGAAAAACTTGTTCCTGGGTGGGAAGAGCCGGCCGTCCGGCCTGCCCTGTACCCGGGCACAAAGCGGCCCTTTGGCTGTCCTGTCCCCGGGGACAGACCCGGGCCGCCCGGCCCTTCCAAAACCCCACCGGACCCGCACCCGAACTCTCCCCAAAAGGGATAAATTTCCAACAAACCTTTTTTTTCACCTTACACGGGTTACTTCCTTACTTTTTTGGGGTAATCACCTTCGCCTAGTCTGATGGTTTTTAAATAACAAAAACTTAAAAAAATGGGGGTTTTTAAAAACCTAATCCCCAACATTACAAAGGGGGGTTTCAACAAGGGATATAGGTACCCTAAACCATAAGGGATACCCCCAATTTTCCCCTTCCCAAAGGCCCATTCCTCAAATTCTTATCCCAAACGAATGCCAGGGGGTTAAAGCCTGGATTTTTTTAAAATTTTTTCCCCCCCCCCCCCCATGTTTTCTAAAACCCCCGTTATTTTTAAATTGTCTTGAAAACGAAAATAGGTTCATCGCCTAAAAAGGGGAAAAAATTTTTATGAGGAAGGGGAGGGGGGCTTAGTTTTTTGAAAGGGGAAAAGGGTATAAATTTTCCCAGGGGGGGTTTTGGTTTAGTCTCGGGTTGGCTATCCTAAAGGGCCACCCGGGTCCCAAGGGGCCCAGGTAAAACAAAAGGTTCACCCAACCCCCCAGGGACGGGGGCGGCCTCGCAAAAGGGGGGAAACCCTTTTTCGGCGCGTCCCCCCTTGGAACCCCCCCCAAACGAACCATCGGGTTACGGGGGGCCCCCAGTTATCTTACCCAGGGGGGGGGGGGGGGGGGGGGGCCAGCCAATGGGTGGTTTGGCAATCCAGGGTGTTGTGGGCACCACACACCATCTCCCCTTGTCTTCCCTTCTAGGTGGGGTGAAGACTTCTGCTCCTAGGGGCTTCTATTCCCTTTGCTTACCGTGGAGGTGCACTAATACCTTTTTTGTACTAGTTACATAATTCTTTTTTCTAAATTGGGAAGGAAAATTTAAAATAAAATTTTTTTCTGCTGTTTTTATTTTGCTCCCCCTTTTCACCCAGGTAACAGACCTTTGGATTCCGGGTTGAAATGGCCAAAGCCGGGGGTTAAAAAGAGAGAGATTTCGTTTGGATTTTTAACCCCCGGGGGTTAGCCCCCCCCGATAACCCAAGAAAGTCAGTGCGTCTCGAGGACTGTTAACTTATTTCCCCTTGGGGTCCTTAATCTTTTCCCCCAGGAGGGACCCACACCAGTCGACAACACCCAGGTACCTATTTGCGCTGGTGAAAAGGAAACAGGTGAAAGGGAAAAGTGTAAATGTTTCCACCCGCCCGGGGTCGAACCCCGGGCCCCCCGTGTGTGAAGCGGGAGCTTTAGCCCCCAGCCACCGGGTGGGTGGGTCCAAAAGAAACCTGTAGTGCTTACTGCCTTTGTATTCCTAATCGTCTGCTGTACGTAGTTGTCCACCTACAGCCCCGTGAAGGCCGGGAATGTGGTGGCTCACGAAAACGTAATGACAATTTTGGGAAACGAACCATACCACTGCGAGGATAGAAAACCCCGACAGAGAGTCAAAAACTCCAGACCCAACGTTGCCACTGGGCCGCCCGGCTACAATAAAATTCTCCAATAGGTTTAAAATTTTTTACACCCTGGAAGGTTAGCAAGGCACCCCCTGGACCACAAATGCAATTTTTACAGACGAACTCCCGCCAGCGTGGGGCCCTGACGAACCTAGCTCAAAATCCCCCCAAAGCCCGTCAACAGACTCACGAAACGAATGATACAATTGCAAAAAAAACCATACCCCTGGGTTCCCTAACATTAAAATTTTATTCACTGACTTATAAATACGTACATAAAAAGTATTTCTGGAATTTCCCTAATATTCACTTCCCAAAATCGTCAAAAAAAAAAAAAAAAAAGGTATACAGGTAGAATAATATATATATAAAAAATTTTTTAAAATTCCCCTCTTTATTATTTTTTTTATAGATAATTACAAAAAGCTACAGGGAGCAGTAGCGCGAGGGGTAATCAAATTATCAAATTACGACGATTCTGTCGCAATTTTTTTCCGTTTAAATTTTTAGCAGTGTTAGTTAATGGATAAAAAGACGGGGATGTGAAAGATTTTGGAAAAATTAAAAAAGAGTAAAAATTTTTTATTAAAATATTATAAAATAATCATTTCCCCTGAGGGCCCTTTTCGCAGACGGGCCGCGGGGGGGTTGACCCCGGGGAAATCCTCCCGGTAAACTCCAGGGAATGGGATAAAGGGAAACTTCAATGACGTTAAACACGCTGTAATAATAATAAAATAATAATAATAATAAAAAAATAAATTAAAAAAATAAAAAAAATAAATGTACAAATATACACATTAATTAAAGCTTATAGACTATTTTGGATCCTATTAATTTATCAAGGTGTTTGAGTCGGGTACAGCACCCAGAGCTATATTTCTCTCAGAATAAACATGTGTTTACATTAATCCCTACTTTACGAATTAAAATATTCTTATTTGGTGGCGAAAACGTTTTTCCCTTTTAGTTTTAATGAAATTTAATACAAATTTAGTGTAGTCAACAGGGTTTAAAACCCCCTTAACCAAACCCAAACCGAAAAGTCGGCAAGTTTTTTTTAAATTTTTAAATATATATTATATATATATATTATAATATATATATATTTTATTATTATATATAAATAAAAGAAGAGGTATTTTGCTCAGTGTATATCACCAAATTTTCTCTAATCCTTTTGTAGTGATTACAAGGGTGACAATGATAATGAAGCTTTAATAAAAACCCTCGTGTAGTCGACAGGCTTCACCCTAATAATCATCAACCCGTGTCGTATGGTTTTTATACTAATATGCAGCAAATTCAAGATATAGGTAGTGACGGGTTTTGCATGTTTTAAACCCGGATAAAAGGTTACCCCTAAAATCTATAGTTTTTAGTGGGTATGTCAATGGTAGTGTACGGGCGATCCCCCACCTACTTTGTAGTGTGTTTCTGGGTCAGTCCCTGGGAAATTCCGGACGTGCATGGATACCTACCTACTCCTCTCACCGTGATGTGAATTTGGATACCCACACCTAGTTTATCCAGATTTTCCCAGTTTTCCCAGGGGACCTCAAAATTATTCCCCATTATCCAAGGTTATCCTAATTTTATAAGTTGTTCCAAAATTTTCCAAGGGTTTAAAAAAACATAACCTATTA